GTATCTTGTTTTGTTATGTGGGTTTAATGAACAGCACTTCGTTCAAACTCACCATGAAGATGCTTTACAAATAAAATGATAAATGGTAAAGGTATAATTGAGATTATAATTTACCACAATTGTTTCAATGTATTTCAATTTTCACAGCAAATAAAAATGTGGTGATCAAATTGTGTTAATTAAAAAAATTCTTTTGTTGCATCTACATTTTTGAATAAGATTGAATGTGGAATTCCTTTCTTCTGCAACTGACCTGTGAACACATTTTCAATAAAACCGCTAGGACACGTTTGAGATCACCCAAAACAAGTATCTTGACTCTAACAATTGAGTTTCATAAACAGAAAATGATCCCGAATAAGACAATTTACAAGCAAAATTTTTCTAAGAAGGCAATGTTTTCCAATTTATAAATCCTCTCAACACTGAGATCTGACTGTAGCAGTGAATGACCTTTGCTGGGAGCAGATTTGAAGGTGGTTCTCTTGCGCCCTCTATGTTGAAATGTAGAGAATTGCATGAACGTTTAAATATGTGCTCATTTAGAGACACTGTTTTAATTTGTTAGTAGAAAATATATTAGGTGAAATAAAAATCATACTTAAATTAACAACAAATGACACACATTCCTGAATGAAAATTAGGTGAGCTTTGACAACAAAAGTAAACATTATATACATATATATGAACGGGGCAGCAGTAGCTCAACAGGTTGAGCGGGTTGTCCAGTTATCGGAAGGTTGCGGTTCGATCCCGGCTCTGGACAGAGTTGTTGTGTCCTTGGGCAAGACACTTAACCCGCATTACCTGCTGGTGGTGGTCGGAGGGATCGGTGGCGCCTGTGCTCGGCAGCCTCGCCTCTGTCAGTGCGCCCCAGGGCAGCTGTGGCTACATCGTAGCTCATCCCCACCAGTGTATGAATGTGTGTGTGATTGGAAGAATGACACAATGTAGTGTAAAGTGCTTTGGAGTCCTTACTCTGAGAGGTGCTATACAAGTGCAGGTCATTTATCATATACACACACACATATGTAAAGGCCTCAGTGTGCTGTGATGTTAAAGATAACGTTAAGAGAGAAATGAAGTCACATTAAAGCTGCAATAGCAAATTTGGGAAATAAATTAGCTTAAAGGGACCATATCATGGAAAATCCACTTTTGGAACTTTTTACCATGTGATATTGTAATGTCCTCGTGAAAAAAAAATAGCCCAAACCCGTTTTTGGCAGCATTCAAACATTTTATGTTTATGTTTATTTATTTGGAAGATGATTTTATCCAAAGCTATGTACAATTTTTGATCTATGGGGCATGTTGTGATCTGTGGAGGAAACTGGAGTACCTGGAGGAAACCCACGCATGCACGGGGAGAGCATGCAACTCCACGCAGAAAGGCTGCAGCTTTAATGGAAACACATCCCGTCATCAGGCCGTGCTCCTCTCCCAGAAGCTAGTCTCTGGTCTGAAACCTGTCTCCCCTGGCCAGCATAAAGATATGTGTGTTTGGCGACTGTTGTCATGCAACTGACTTGGTAGTCCAGTAGTTAGAGCACCATGGCCAATACAGAAACTGACATGGCTATGAGACACTGTTGTAGGCATGTTAGTTGGAGCAGACATGGGTGGAGTTTCACTGAATTTAACTGTTTTATTTCCAGGTATAACTTCTAGCTGACAAAAATAACTCGTATTACAATAAATGACATCTCAGTTGTGCAAACAGTAATTTTTTATCATTTCCTGTTTCTACCTTTGCTCTCAAAGGTTCAAAATAACACAATATGAAACCTGTTCTAACATAGAATAGATATAAATGTATTGTGGAGATATAGAAAAAAAAATAAAACAAATAATAAAGTGGTTTTCGCATTTGTCTAAAAAACCATCACCAATAACATGTTTTGGCCCAAACGCAGCTATTGGACCATACGATTGTCGATCTGTGGGTCCTCCGTTCATTAAGCACTCAAGTATTTAGCAACCAAACAGAACTGGTGTGAGAGGTTCGTGGCTCAATAATATCAAAGAAGGAAAAACAGCCGGTTGATAAAACTTAAACTTTAGGACAAACTACCAGAGTCCCAAAAATGTAGTAAGTAAAGTTAATTTATGTAGCAAAATCACACAGTGGTGCACAAAGACATCAAAATTGAAACACAATTAAAAGACAAAAAATGTATATATAATTAAATTAAAGATCATTCAAACAAATGAAGATAAAACAAATAAGAAACAAAAACACAAAATTCCTTTATGTATATATATGCATTTTTTTTAAATCCCATTTTTACTGCCTGCAAAGGCTTTTAACGTTATGATTTTGGCTCATGCATTGGAAAGTTTGGATACTCCTGATATACAGGTGCTGGCCAGTAAATTAGAATATCATCAAAAGGTTGAAAATATTTCAGTAATTCCATTCAAAACGTGAAACTTGTACATTATATTCATGCAATGCACACAGACCAATGTATTTCCAATGTTCATTACATTTAAATTTGATATTCATAAGTGACAACTAATGAAAACTCCAAATTTGGTATCTCAAAAAATTAGAATATTCTGAAAAGGCTGAATATAGAAGACACCTGCTGCCACTCTAATCAGCTGATTTACTCAAAACACCTGCAAAGGCCTTTAAAAGGTCCCTCAGTCTTGTTTAGAAGGCACCACAATCATGGGGAAGACTTCTGACTTAACAGCTGTCCAAAAGACAATCATTGACACCTTGCACAAGGAGGGCAAGACACAAAAGGTGATTGCTAAAGAAGCTGGCTGTTCGCAGAGCTCTGTGTCCAAGCACATTAACAGACAGGCGAAGGGACGGAAAAAATGTGGTAGAAAAAAGTGTACAAGCTCTAGGGATAACCGCACCCTGCAGAGAATTGTGACGACAAACCCATTCAAAAATGTGGGGGAGATCCACAAAGAGTGGACTGCAGCTGGAGTCAGCGCTTCAAGAACCACCACGAGGAGACTCATGAAAGACATGGGATTCAGGTGTCGCATTCCGTGTGTCAAGCCACTCTTGAACAAGAAACAGCGCAAGAAGCGTCTCGCCTGGGCCAAGGACAAAAAGGACTGGACTGATGCTGAGTGGTCCAAAGTTATGTTTTCTGATGAAAGCAAGTTCTGCATTTCCTTTGGAAATCAAGGACCCAGAGTCTGGAGGAAGAGCGGAGAAGCACAGAATCCACGTTGCATGAGGTCCAGTGTAAAGTTTCCACCGTCAGTGATGGTGTGGGGTGCCATGTCATCTGCCGGTGTTGGCCCACTCTGTTTCCTGAGGTCCAGGGTCAATGCAGCCGTCTACCAGGAAGTTTTAGAGCACTTCATGCTTCCTGCTGCTGACCAACTTTATGGGGATGCAGACTTCACCTTTCAACAGGACTTGGCACCTGCACACAGTGCCAAAACCACCAGCACCTGGTTCAAGGACCATGGTATCCCTGTCCTTGATTGGCCAGCAAACTCGCCTGACCTTAACCCCATAGAAAATCTATGGGGTATTGTGAAGCGGAGGATGCAATACGCTAGACCCAACAATGCAGAGGAGCTGAAGACGACTATCAGAGCAACCTGGGCTCTCATAACACCTGAGCAGTGCCACAGACTGATCGAGTCCATGCCACGCCGCATTACTGCAGTTATTGAGGCAAAAGGAGCCCCGACTAAGTATTGAGTGCTATACATGCACATTCTTTTCATGTTCATTCTTTTCAGTTGGCCAACATTAGAGAAACAAACATTTTTTCATTGGCCTTTAGAATATTCTAATTTTCTGAGATACCAGATTTGATGTTTTCATTGGTTGTCACCTATAAATATCAAAATTAAACGTAATAAACATCGGAAATACATTGGTCTGTGTGCATTGCATGAATATAATGTACAAGTTTCACGTTTTGAATGGAATTACTGAAATATTTTCAACCTTTTGATGATATTCTAATTTACTGGCCAGCACCTGTAATGTCCTGTGATAAAACCTCTGGTTTGTAGTGCTATAGCGGGGTTTAGGACTCTGACTCAACATAACCATTGTGGTTAACGCTTACATAGACCCATTTGTATTTCACATGCTCAAATCTGGACAATGTGTAGCTCAGATGGACAAACTATTATTATTTTCAGTGGGAGAAATTGAAGGTGTGGTATGAGTGTGTGTGTAGACAGTAAAATGTGTGTGTCTAAAACACATTTCATGTTTGGACTGAGAAATTCAAATTCAGAGGATTAGTTGACAAATTTTCTCCTGAGGATTAATCAGATTTCTATTATTATGGTTTAATCCATCTGTCGCCGATTTAGTTTAAAAGTCTATCCAAGAAACCACACAGATATGTATCTGTGCTGTGTGGTCATTACCAAGACAAGAGTCATACTGGACAAAAAAGTGTTAAATAAAATTCTGTTTATAGTAGGCAAGTATTCTGTATTTCAGACTCTTAGTCCAATTCACAGAAGTAGAGAAAACATACAGGAAAGATCAAATGAAATAAAATAAGCACAATATGACACAAAGAATCATGAGAAACAGAAGAGACAATAATAAGAGTAGTGTGAATATAAAGTATAAATTATAGTAACTCCCTAATCTACCAGTGTTTCCACATCTTTGACTGGTAGCGTACTGCACTGACAGATATTGGTTAGATCAAAGATCACAAAACAATCATATATTTAGAATTGTTCAGTCAACAAATATATTTATAAACAAAATTTATTTAAAAAAATTATAAACGTTTGTCTTAAAAAAGAAAATTGAGTAATTTGATAAATAACATTTCTTAAGACAGTTTGTAGGGTGCTCACCCTTGCCTCACTAGAAAAATCATTTTCTACTTTTTGCAGTTATAATCATTATTTTCATGATTAAATTCAAGCTGGAGACGTTATTTATTTTATTTTTTCTAGCTGGAGACGTACGGTTATATAAACTGCTCGTGACGTAGCCTGCCTGTTTCCGTCTTTAATTTCCGTCACCGTCTGTATCCATGGCAACGACCAGAAGCGAACAGAGGCGGTGTCGGCGCTATCACAACGGAAATCACACTGGAAGTACTATTGGCAAGCGGGAACTTGAAAGTACAAAAATTTGAAAATCAGGGATGTTGTTATATGTGTCAGTGGTTATTATTACCTGTTTGATTTTAGCGCGTTGAAGTGGAGATGAACGAGGCAGATTTTTACGACCGTAAATCGTAAAACGAAGTAGAAATCTCAGTAAGCTAGCTGACAACACTAGAGCTAACCTTTAGCTGTTTCTCATCAGAATGGCGGATAGAAACCTTGTGAAAGAACTGAAACGCTGGGCTACGGAGGAGTTTAACCTGCCCCCGGACACCCTACCTAATGACAGCTATTTAAAAACGTGGGTAAAGAAAACATCGGAATAAAAATGTTTTTTCGGGTCTGAAGTAACACCGTTCATTTTCCCAGCCTCTGTGTTGGAACTGGGAAGTCCATATGGAAGTACATAATCCAACATGTTTTCCATCAAAGGTCAGTGTTAGTTTTCTTGTTGTTCTGTTATAAGGAACTAACTGTTACTAAAGTTATCAGTGCTTTAAATATCGTTGCGTTGTTTTAAGCTCGTGTGATAAATAAATGTGTTTTAAACGTTTTCAACTTCTTGCATTTTTGCAGAAACGTGAAAATCATGCGAGGCAATCTTCAGTGGTATCCTTTTTGGCTTGAATTTTACTAAAAATAAAATCTTGTTTCATTTTGATTTTTTTTCCAATGTTATCTTACAGAATTAAGTTGTCTTTCATAAACAAGCTCACACCTAACAGTCCTTCACCTTATGATCATGGTTATAATCCACATTACATTTGCTCTCATATAAATGTGTACTTAATTTGTGAAATTGCCTTGACTTTATGATCTCAAAGGTACAAAGTAATACAGGACAAAGAGGTAGGGTAACGCATGTTTATTTCTACATATATGGGTCTGTTATAACCACAGATAATTTTCAGTATGTTGGGTGGTGTGTCTGCATGTCAAGCTGGTTCAGACTAAAGGCCAGAGTGAAGCTGCAAAGCGTAAAGAGCTGCAGATGAAGATTGAGCAGCTGAAATGTGAGATTAGTCACCTGGATTCTCAGATCAGTGGAACAGAAGAACAACTCGCCGCACAAGGTTAGTTCATCTCAAGCTGTGTGCTTGTAAGTTCAGATCTAGTTGTTTCTCAAACACAGAATACATTGATTACTAAAAGGCTAAAATTGTTTTACATTATTTTCTGTTCTGTGACCAAATTGTATGCTAAAATAACTTCACTACACAATTCGTTCCATCTTGAAATCTGATGCAAAAATGTTGTTTGTTGCATTGAAATAATTGAAGCAATTTTTTAAGTTTTTTTTTTCTCATGTCAAATTTGTCAACCATCCCTATTACACAGAACAATCTGTTGGTCAAACCTGGGCCCAGATGGAGGACAGCCAAAGCAGAGAGCTGTTTCTGCAGGCCTTCAGACGGCACTGCACCTTGAACCGTAACCTGCTCTCAGATGATGTGCAAAAAATCAGCAGCCACTGCCAAGTGCTGGAGCAGATGGAGCAGTAAGGCAGAAAAATTCACTTAAACATTAAACTGGCCATGAAAGCAGATATTTTAAGCATCTACTACAAGTTACATAGCAAGTGATTGTATATAAATAATTTAAGGAGTGTGTTTATGTTGTAGGAGTGTAGAAACTGAGGTTCTGTTTGACGATGCTCCATCCAGCAGCAGAGCTGATGACGACTTCAACTCCCAGACTGTAGCAGTGGCACAAGTCCTGGTGAGAGCTGCTGAAGTGGTGGTGAATCTAACCACCCTCTCTTGTTAGAGCTCTTATTAGGCTGCCAACATCAATAAAATTAACTTGCTTGTTTAATTTTTTTCTACAATTTAATAATTTTTCAGTAAAATAGAGTACTGAGAATATTTGCATGAAAAATATTTATATTCTCCAACAGCGTGACTTAAAGGAGCTGAGCGAAGACAGGGTCAATTTCTATCAGTCCTTACAAGAGAGCGAACTGAAAACTCAGCCCTCTGCAACAAAAAAGTAAAGATAGTCTATTTTACACTGTTTAAGACATTTTATTAATTTTAATTTATGCATTCTTAACTTTTCTGTTGTTTTCTACACTGTGTCACCCCCTAACAGCATGACTCATGAGCAGAGGATGGCTGTGTTTCAGTACTGGCTGAGTACCACTGAGGTTGGTTGATTTTATTGAGATCTTGCTGTGAAAGTCATTGTTTTGGTGTTGGATTTTCATATAAATGTTTAATTCTGTTCCTTGTGACATCATCAGAAAGTGTTGAGCAATTATCCTCCGAGCCACATTCTGTCAGCGCTGCAACATTTGGCTGCAAGAGAGCAGAGGGAACTACAGGAGAGAGTAACAACTCTGGACGTGACAAAAGATGCTGCAGCACTGCAGTATGTAAAACTCCACATCACTGACATTATCTACATGCATGTTGCTTTTTAATCAGATTTCATGAGCTATTTTTTTTTTCAGATTCCGATATGAAAGCAATCACCTTCTGGATATCTCGGCAGAGGAGGGCAATGAGTTACCACCTGTCAAGACCCTCCTAGAGGTGCTACGCCTTCATTTACCCGTTAAAATATCTGATGTTCACATTAAAAGAAAAATATGCATGTTTTTCTTTATTATATGTGAGTGCTACGCTTTTATTTATGTCAATTTTATATATATATAAATATATATATTTGTTGTTTCAGGCTGTTTGGGATGAGGTACAGCAGAGTTTGGTGGAGCTGTCTCAGACTCGTTCCAGAGTCCTGCAGCTCAAAGATCTATTGCAGGACCGTAAGAAGGAGGCTGAGGAAGAGACGTCTGGGATTTTTAATGATGTCCACAATGAAACCATGGCACTGTAAATTTACAAGCACTGCAGCTGTTTAAAGACCAAGTTCACTGAGAAACTGATTTTTACTTGTATTTTTTTTTATATCTGATCGGTCACTCGTAGTTCAACATGCAGGCTAAATGTGAAAAAAGTCTTCTGCCCCTATTAGTTGCCAAAAGAAAATAGATGGAGAAACGCTCTGATTAGAAAATTCAGTCAGACCTTGGCTCACACACGGTAGGAAAGAGCGGAGGGCATCTCTGCTAGTAGAAGCTATTTGTTAGCATTAGCAACTCCACAACATGACTGAACTTCAGGCTTGCAGAGCAAACGGAGTCAGTGGTAGAGTTGCAATGCTGTTAACCAATCATAGGTAAGATGTCCAAATAACAGGAAATAAGAGTGTAAAGCCTGCTCACCTCTGCTCTCACTCACTTCTAGTTTCTGAAACAGGAGTGCCACAGGTTTTTCCCACAGAGATCGACTTACAAGGCATTCATTTATACTAGAGACCACAGCAAATGTGTTGAAAAAGGAAGGAACTTGAATGAAAAAATGCACACACTATGTGTTAACAGGTCAGCATTTGAGGTGGAACTGCAGTGTGTGATGAAGGCAGCAGCTCGGGATCATATCAGAGATCACTGCATCCAACTCGACCAACATGCCAGAAACCGTCAGGAGGCACTCAGAAATCTTTGCAGCCAGTGGCAAAACATTCAGGATTTCAGAGAACTGGTGGTAAGAAGAAACATGGCTTCTGTTCACTTTTGCTGTTAAAAGCTGTAATCCTGAATAAAAGTGCCTGCACATGGTGGATGCAACATTTTTGCATATTTAATGTTCTTTTAAGAATTTGGATGTCTGGGTATGTATAAAAATAAACATGTTTATTTACTAAACTGTGATTTTGTTGGGCAGAACTGTTTAAAAGTAACAAAGAAAACAAACGTGCTGCACCTGTTTCTCTGCAGGCTCTCAGGCAGGAGCAATTAAGAGGGCTTATTAAAGGGAACTCGTCAACCAAGACACAACTGACGTGTCTTCATAAAGAGGTCTGAATATAAAAAGCAGAACAAGCACATTTTTGCTGCATTTCTTGTTTCAATACAGTTTTAATCTATTTGTTTTATTTCAGTTGCAAGAGTTCATTGAGATCAAACTCAAGCCACAGTTTGAAGATGTGATCATAGCTGCCAGCTCGCTACGGAACTCCATTTCTAAGGAGGTCATACAGTTTGGGAACGTTTCACTCCTGTCTCTGGACCGCAGGACTGTGGAAGGGTGAGAACCGGTTTCATGAATCTTGACATCTGAAAGACTATTGCAAGTTTGATAAGTCACCAATAAAGCTTAATAACACAAGTTCTTGATAAAATCGCTCCTGATATCTATTAAAGTTGCTGTCCGGAGTTTTCCCCTTTCAGGAATTATGAAGGATTTTTCAGAAATCCTTAAATTGATTGTCTTATGTACTCTGATATAATATAGGAAATGCGTTTTTTTTTTTTTTTTTGCTAAGCCCGCTCCCTGTCTCGTAGAGCTCAATGCAATATGACCTGAGTGCCATTCAGCACTAACCAATAGCGTTAGATTACTGCTTACGTACAGATGTTAATCACAGAGCGTGCTTGAGCATTTAAGGACCTCGGTTGATGCAGAGTTGGCGACCTTTCTTATGGACAAATAAGTCTTTATAATATAAAAATGAAAAGACAACGTAATAACTGTAAAACGGTGTGTTTTGTCGGCTAGAGGAGCGCGTTCATAAACGAGAGGCGTTACTTTTGGCCGTAGATAAGGAAATGAAACAGGGTCTTGGCGTGATACGCCTGTCAGCCACTAATGGTGCCATCCGATAAATGAAGTAATCCGGAAATCAACTTTAAATGCATTTTACAAAAATCCTTTATAATCTAAAATTAGAATTACACAATAATGTTGCTCGCTTTTCTTTCACAGGTTTGAGTTTTATTATTATTAAAGCGGTACAGCACAACAGTTATCTGAAAATGTTCACGTTAATTCAGTAGCAGACCTGTAACTGAGTTGCACTTAGTCATTTTTTGTTTTCAAGTGGCAACTTCTGAAAAGAAAAAACATCTTTCTTTCAGAATGCAAAGACTTCCAGTGTCCTCGTTGTCCATTTACCGCTTGCAGTCCTCAAGCTTCAGCAACTTGTGTCAGACCCTGAAATTCCCTCGTTACAAGGTGAGGACTGACGTTTAAAATGCTTCTGTTTACTATCAAAATGTAGGGATGGGGAATAAAACAATAAAATGTCACTTTATTGTCTTTATGGCAACGTACATTTTAGAGTACAAACTACTCTTCATGCAACTAGAACAATTAACATGACTAAACATGACATAATGGAAGTATACCCACCTAAAAGGGTTTAAAGTGAATATTTATTTTTTATACCTTAACAAAAATGTTATTTTTTTTGTAACTGCTGTTTTGCCAGCAGTTTTCTTGACTTTCTTTAAATGTCCTTTTTAAGGCATGTCGATTTCCCTCAGCAGCACTTGAATGTAAAGCTGTGCTTTAAAGACTGTGTTTACTTATTTGTTAATAAAGTGAGTAGTTTGTTAAATGGTTGCTGGCAGATCGACATTTTTGGTTCACGGTCTGCATCCTTAACCTTTACACAGTGGAAGTTATTTTAGGGAAGTCAGCAGGGCTGATGGTACGGGTAGAGTTTTGTGGCTTGTTTGTCTAAAATGCAGAAGTTAATATAAGTCCATTTTTGTCAAAATTTCTTCTGGGTGAACATTTAACCTTGTTTACATTTCAGAATAAAGGGAGTTTTCATTCAGTGGTGAGGAGGCAGATATGTAATTAATACAACTGTCCTTTCTCGTCTGTAAATTAGGCTGTTTGAAGGCATAAATGGTACTTTTCTGTAATGTTGTGTTTGTATGATTCTTTTGTTTAATTTAATTTCTGCCAGATATGTTTGTGTTGATACTAAATCTTTAGAAAGCTTGAAAAAAAATCACAATTTTTATTTGATTTTTGCTTTTATTGTGAAGCCCTAATAAGCAGGTTCCACTGTACTGTGTCTTTGGATTAACCGCTACATCACCCATGGAGATACTCGTGGTTACCTGCAGTCTTGCCACTCCGAATGCTCTTTAAGTCAATCGCTAACTGCAAATGTGCTTTTAACATGCTCAGAGTAATGTTCATGAGGCATAATAGCTGCACAACCTGCAGGCTGACTTTTATAATTCCTTGATAAGTACAGTTTTGATTAATCTCACCCCCTACTCTTTCAGGCACCAGAGGAGTTGTGTTCCCAGTTGCGATCCCAACAGCTTGAAATGTGTTTTCTCCACGAGCTACTGAAACTTTACTCCTTCACGCTGCAGAAAGTACAGAAAGAAGCAGAACAGCTGCATGCGCCTGATCAAAAAGGTATCTGAGGGAAGGTCAAAATAGAAAAAGTTCTTGTTTTCTTTAAAAAAGCACCCAGAAGTGTAAATTTTGCTTGTTTGCACACATGTGGTGTTAAAAATAAATGTGCATGCATAAATGTGTAACGGTTTTAGTAAAAAGTTATTTTCTATCTGATTTCTAGCTCTGCTGTCCAGAGTCACTGAGGAGGATCAGAAGCTTCTGAAGGATTTGCTACCAAGAGCCAGAGGCCTCACCCATCACTGTGCACAGGGCCTTTTTTATGGAGCACAAGTCAAAACTGCCATCTCTGACTGGTGAGAGACAATTCTGACAGGAAAATAGTTGTACTTTATTGTTTTCTTTAGAAATTGCAACAAAGTAAAATGTCAACACTGCAGTTTTGTAATGTTGTGATTTCTTACACATATGGCAATAAAACCCTTCTGATTCTGATTAGATGCGTTCTTTAAAAAATACCTGTTAGACAAATTTGCTATGTTGTAAAGCACATTAAGTAGTGTGCTGCTTACCTAAACCTGATCTGGTAGTGAAAATGAAAGTGGTAAGTTATCAGCCAGGCTACATTTCAAATATAATGTTAAGTTTGTTTTTTCCTATAACTTCTTCCTGCAGCTACTTTCACATATTAGCTGCAGTATGAGGTGTGCATGAAAGGTATGCATACCACAGCATGACACAAAGGATGAGGTGTTTACACAGAAAAAGTAGTTATACAGGTAAAGCTGTCATTAGCAAGCCTAGTCTATTTTACGTTGATGTTGTTATTCTTAAAATTTTCAGGGTTATTTTGTATTTACTGTTTATGTTTTTGTTTGTTTGTGTAGGTGGGACAAACCAGCCCAGCATGCCCTACCTGATGTCGTTAAAGGAGGGCTGACTTTCCAACAGTGGCTTCAGAGGTGGAGAATAGCTACCAAAGCCTGCTAGTTGACACCTCCACATTTCTACACCTCTTGCTTTAGGAACCTTTAAGAAACTAGTGCACATGTGTAAGCTAAATGTGTGTGTGTTGTACTCTTGTTGGAACTCTTGTTTTATCATGTAAAATGCAGTCATCAATAAATTTTACTCATTTGTTTTTGTCTTAGCTTAATTGCCTCGCTCAGTTACCCGCAATTCATTCGTGTAGAACTATTTACTGCACAGAAAACATGCTGGATGTGGTCACGTGGTGTTACAATAAAGCCGTGCATCGATAGCTCGATCATTTTCTGTACGGTTACAGTTCCGAGGGTTTTAGTTGAACCTACAGTGCGCGTGTGTCATTTAGCGCGGAGCTACATTGTTCTTTGTAGCAGTGAAGGGGGAGTGGAGCAATCTGATTCTTGTGAACTCGGCTCCTCCCACTGCTGCGGCTGCGCACTTCAATTTTTCACTCATTTTTTTTCTTCTTATTTTTCACTCCTACTCTGGCTTCCGGACGCCAAGACAGACCACTGCCGCCGAATTTAAAGAGACAGGCGATAGTTCTTTTAAAAAACGTTAAACGACAACCATTGTGTTCGAGCTTATTTCCCTACCGTTCGTGCTTCCGTCTGCTGAGTTCGCTGGTGATGTTCGGTCGCACTCTCGGCGAGTAGCAGCTTGTCAGTCATCACCCTCCACTCTGCCCGGGGTTCCCTGTTCTTTTCGCCTCTGTGTTGAGACTGTCCAGCCAGGCAAAGTAGGGTTGCTCGCTTGCTGGCAGGCAGGCTGGCTTCCCGACCGAGAGAGCAACGTTTGTCGCCTAGCCAACAACTGGAGGTAACATCGAAGCTTCCCTCGTAAGTTGTGGTAGCGGCTCTCGAGCCCCCTGCCGCCGGGATAATGGCGAAGATTCAGGCGCACAGCGCCGCGAAGCAAATAAACCAAATTCAAGACAAGCCTTACGTTATAACACAAAAGCAAGTGCAGCAGCAGCACTTCCAGAAGCTGAAGGTAAGAGGACAACGGACACGACAAGCGAAAAGTCTCAGTCACAACCATTTTGTTCGTCGGCTCATTTCAACGCATTAGATTTCTCCCCGCTCGAGAGTAGTGAAAGAAACGGCTGGCTAGCGATAGTTGGCTTAACTGGACAAATAAAAGTATTTCACACCTGAATTGTTCGACACTGACATGTAAGGTTAGACGTGGAAGCTGTTTTCCATTAATGAGTGTGCGAGTGACAGTCGAGTGACTCGGTTTGTAGTACTTTTCTTTTTTTTTCATTTGCGCCATCAATGGTAGCTGCTGTGAGCAAACATAAAACGGCAGACCTCGGTTGTGGGAAGTTCCTCCTTGTTGGATTTTTTTCAGTCAGCTTGAACAAAGTGGGGGACATCAGCCAGGCCAACCAACAACGGCTACTTCAGTTGATTAGCAGCTTCATTTTACGTGTCTTTGTTGTCGCAGTGTGTTTTTAACCTGTCGTTTAGCTTTTGCCGATACGACACATTTGGCCGGGGACCAGCTGCGACTAAACGTATTGTGTAAAAATTGTATGCGGGTGGGTGTTGAGTGTTGGGGAGTATTCAGTTGACTGGCTGTGTTGGCTAATGTTAGCTACAACAACCCTCTTCAGATGTAGTCTGTTGGTGACAGTGCTTTGTGTGAACAGTTTTTTTTCTCTCTTCGCTGTCTAAACTAGCTCGTTTGGTTTAGAGAGCTCCAGACCAATCAACCAAAGCTGCAGAGGTTATTTATATTTAAATCTTTATCGTATGTAATTAAGCGAACACGTGCAGCTTGATCTGCAAATTGTTTTTTGATTAAAAAATATATTATTTACCATGATAGTGGATATTTACATTGTATAATTATAAGAGCCACGTTGTAAGTACTGTGGTGTAAGCAGGGAGCTGTCTCATCCAACGTCCGTCAAATTCATCTTCAACCATCAACAAGATGTAATCTGTTTGAGACTAATTATCCTTTTCTCTCTCTTTTTTTCTGTAATCAGGTTGAAGATGCCTTGTCGTATCTGGATCAAGTCAAAATTCGTTTTGCAAATGACCCAGGAATATACAACAAGTTTCTCGACATCATGAAAGAGTTCAAGTCTCAGAGGTATCTGTGATTATGTCTAAGCAGACTAAACGTTTGTATTAGTCACTCTTGATCAAAGCTGTTCAGAGTTGGACAATGTTCTTGATCTCAAACATTTTCTTTGTTTTGACTAGAGGTCAACCGATATTGGTTTTTCTAATGCCAATGTCAGTGGCTGATGTGTATTGCAGATTTTTTTGGGCTGCTTTTCATGGCCAATATCCAGACATTTTCCACCTTTTCATGCTAGAATTTCACCATCGATTGATGCACAAAGTTCCTGAATCTGTTTTTGAACTCTTAATTTAACTAATTGTTAAATCTTTGTGTATTGCTCAGTGTTAAAGTCAGACACATAAAGTTAATTTGGAGTGTTTATTATGCAGATGTTATTACTGAATGTAAAAATACATTTAAATTTAATTCTGCAACCACACCGGGCTGTCCAAGGATGAGCCTGACTTTAAATCTGCTTTATTTAGGACAAATATCAGATGATGCCGACGTATTAAAAAACAGTAAACGTTAATCTACCCCAAGTTTTGACACAGAAATAATGAACACCACTTTTTTGCTGTTCTTTAATCAACAATTCTTAGAGACAGGAATATTGTGACAAACTGACCACCACTGCAAAAAACAAAAAAAAAAAAAAAAAAAACGCTAGTATAGTTTAAAACAAAAAGGTGGGAACAGATTTATAGTACAGTAGTAAAATTAAGTCCGTGAGCTCATTACTTGTCTAATTTTTTCCCTACCTTAACCATATTTCGAAATCACCAGTCTGTGCCTCTGTGTGGTGCTGGGTGGCACACACAACAGCTGTTCATAAATGCTATTTGTTTTCAAATTTGCCAGCTGGCATTTATAAACGTCTGCTAGTTTGGAAAATGATGGTCACAAATGCTGACTGCTGTTTCAGATGTCATTTAAGAAAACATTTAGAAGAAAAAATAAATGAACCACAGTGGCAAAAAGGAAACAATCATATTTTTTACTCCTTTGGTTCTTGGTAAAGGTTCAAAATAGGTCAGAAACTCAAACTAATTATCTGTTATATTATTGACAGACATGCGATATGTCATATAAGCAATTTGGTTCCCAGGAGATGCACAAGTGAAAATGACCCAGAGACATGCTTCTTTACATTACCCAACAATATATACCCAAATATTGGCGCAGTGGTTAGCACTGTTGCCTCGCAGCACGAAGGTCGCAGGTTCAAAACTCAGCTGCGGCCTTTCTGCGTGGAGTTGCGTGTTCTCCCCATGCATGCGTGGGTTTCCTCCGGGTACTCCGGTTTCCCCCACAGATCGCAACATGCCCTATAGGTTATAAATTGTAAGTCGCTTTGGATAAAAGCGTCTGCTAAATTAATAAACATAAACATATATTCCACAAAAGCATCATGATAATGTCTAAAGTCTTGCAACATTTGTACAAACTTCTCACAATCAAGCACTTGTGTCTGGGTCACTTTCATTTTAGAAGATTCTTTTAGTAGATCACATCGTAGATAAAAGCAGACAAACTTCCTCTTTTAAAAATTTTAATATATTTTTAATTAATTCAGACTGGTGAATCGTTGCTGTAAAACGAATGCTGACGTTGCCGTCACAACTCCCTGTTGTTGTCCTGTGAAAAAGGCAAATACTTTGAGCACACTCTTTGAACCACTTGATTACAGTTGTAGGTACGCCTGACTCGAAAAGAAAACCCTTTTATACAAGAATGACCTAATGACCTTGATAGAAGAATTTACTATATGTCGGTTGTGCAAAAGAGCTTTGAAGTGAGTGTTATTGCTTTGAAACTTAATATTTTAGAGCTTGTGTTCTAGATACCATCCTACTGGGTGGACAAGGTTAATTATTAGTTATTTATCTGTGCTTTACTTTAAACTGTATATTTTTTTAATAGCATTGACACACCAGGGGTTATAAACCGTGTGTCTCAACTCTTTCATGGACACCCTGACCTGGTCTTGGGCTTCAATGCCTTCCTGCCACCCGGTTATCGGATAGAGGTCCCAAAGAATGGGATGGCCTTCCTTCAGTCTCCGTTCTCCACACAAGTAAGAAAACCCTTTTCCTCTTCATGCTCCTCTTAGATTCAAAAAAGCGATTTTTTTATTTAATCATTTTCATCAGTCCATCAAAACCAATTCCTGTCTTGGTGAGAGCTACTTGGTGTCACAGAACTTTTACATTCTTCAAAAGAACCTCTTGTGTTTGCGCCGCTCCAAATTTGATTCCAGTTGTCCGACTCAGGAAATGAGCTGAATTTTTTTTTTTAACAAAACACAGGAGTGAATTTGCCAGTTATGTGTTTAAAAGATATTCACAACTGAAGTTTAAATGTTTGCTGTATTTATTTTGCACAAACAAATATTTCCAAAGTGTGTTCCACTTAGCCGTGTATGGCATTTGTGTGTGTTTCTGTTTGACATGATCTTTTGTCCTCTGCAACTTCAGTAGTATATTCATGAAGTATTTTTCTGAGATGAAATATAACAGTGATTTAAAATAAAATGCAGTAATAACAAAAACAAATTACATTGAACCTAAAATTCAACGGATGTTTAAAGTTTGTAGGGAAATCACCATCAGTCTCTGGTTAGATGACCCGAGGCTCCAAAATGAGAAGTAGCTTCTGCTTTAGCAACTCCACCCAGGCTGTTTTAATTCATGTTATGATGACGATGATGATGATGATGATGACATATACGTGTTGTTTATTTAGTTGAGCTTATTTGATCATCAGCATGAAAAGAAATGGATCACTTTGAATCTTTCTGGCATTATGGGGAGTTAGCATTTTCTATTTTGAAAAACAACCCCAAACCTGGAGCTAGATCCTTTCACTGGATAGTCTCTTTGCCAAGGATGAACACAATGCTGAGAGGCAGAAGGTTACTTGAGAATTAGTCATTTTCAGTAAGGATACATTGTTACAGTTTCCATTGAGAGTGACGGAAATGTTTTTGACAAAACTCTTTTTCTATCTTCTGTGTCCATCTATTCAGGTGTCCCCAGGACAGCAGGGCAAGAGCCTGACTCCTTCAGTTGCAGCAACCTCCAGTACTGCTTCTGTTGTCCATGCTGAAGCTGGACCGGCCCAGACCAGTGAAGTCAAGGCAGCCTCATCAGATTCTATATCTTCAACTCCAACTGGACCTCCAGAACCCCCCAGCAGACTTTCTCTTCCCCTGACGAGCAGAGAGAGCCAGAATCAGGCCACCTCCTCATCCGTTTCTCCACCTGCTTCAGAGACGAGTCCTGTTGAGTTTGACAGTGCCATCAGCTACGTAAACAAGATTAAAAACCGTTTCCTCGACCACCCAGAGATTTATAGGTCTTTCCTCGAAATACTTCATACATACCAGGTACTGAAGAAACGATGTGGCAACATTTGATTTTGTAACTATTTGGGGATTATGTAGTTATTCATTGGCATCTTTTGTAATGGCTAATTTCATCTTAGTGGTTTTTACTGTGGTTCTAGTGTTAGTAAAATATATTGAAGCACTTTTATTCCAGGAAAGAATTGGTTTACTATTGCCTGCTTTGTGTTTTATTTACAATCATTTTTAAACAACATAAGTCATAGCTGGAGTCAAAGTTTGACAACAGTGTGTTAATTTCATTGTTTTGATGTTCTTATCTTATACACAGAGTAGCAAAGTTTTCCTTTTTACCTTATTTTGCCAAACAGAAAAACAATATAACTAGAAAAAAAAAACACCAAGGACATAACAAGGAGTGTTCATGTATTTAGGCTAATATTGTGTATGATTACTCAAACCAATACACTTATTTACCTTTATTAGTGGATAAAACCTGAACTTTACGGGCGATGGTGGCACAGGAGTTAAGTGTTCGCCCCGTAATCGGAAGGTTGCAATCTCTTGCTGTTGAGTCCTTGGGCAAGACACTTAACCCACCTTGCCTGCTTGTGTTCGGAGGGACCGGTGGCGCCTGTGTACGGCAGACTCGCCTCTGTCAGTGTGCCCCAGGGCAGCTGTGGCTACAATGTAGCTCATCACCATCAGGGTGTGAATTGGTGAATGACTGACTGTGTTGTAAAGCACCTTGGGGGGGAGGGTCCCAGGAATCTAGAAGGCGCTATATCAAATACAAGGCAAGGCAGCTTTATTTATACAGCACATTTCAAACACAGAGGCAATTCAATGTGCTTTACAATTAATAAAATACAGGCCATTTACTTTACAAATAAAAACAACCACACCCCTCCTGTGACTTCAGAAAGAGCAGCTTGAGGTGAAGGAGAGTCGAAGCAGTCGAGGCAGCAGTGGGATGACCGAGGATGAGGTCTTTTCCAAAGTTGCCAGTCTCTTCAAGGGACAAGAGGACCTACTTGCTGAGTTTGGACAGTTCCTGCCTGATGCCAAGAGGTCACTGGTAAGTTTAGGACGTAAAATAATAAAATTAATAACTTACTTTTTGGTTTGGTTCGTTTTCTTTATTCTAGTTGTAACCAAGGGTTAGTTTTTCACTACAGTTGTCTGATATTATTGGCCTGCTGTTATTGGCTGGTACTGGCATTAAACTGTAATATATCTGTTTTTACTCTTTTAATGACACAACATGTACATACCATGTCCTTATTCGTGAAACTCTTCAGCTACTTTTCTAACTCAAAATGTCAAAATATGATCGATCCAATGTTTTGTGTTTTGTAGTTGTTCACAACTTATGAAAAAGTAGAAGTTGGCCCTGTGTAGTGGATGGTAGTCAGCATTACCTCAGGGACAATGTGATTCAGCTGCTTTTAGTGACACTATAAATATACACACCTGCAAACTTGTCGCTTTTCGTTAAAAATCGTCGTTCTAGAAGCCAAATGTGGCGTTTATGTGACTCGTGTAGATCTGAAGATTCTAGTGTGTTAGTCACGTGTCATCATCTGACCAATCACAGTCAGAGACAGCACGCTGCAGACGATGAGGCAGAGCGACACTCACAGTGAGTGTGAGTGCAGTTGCTATAACCCCTCACAGCAGTTTTGAGCTTAAAGTTTGTCAAATAGAACAAAAGCACCACTAAATAACAGTTTCCTGTCAAGTACTTTAGCAGATTTATCTTTATAGATTTTTCCAGAGGCTGGGTGTGTTTTTTATTTATTTTTTTGTTTTGGAGTTGAGTTTGGAGTAAACCCCACCAGTAATATTAGTAACATAAATACTATTTCTGGTAAGAAATGGCCACCAGTATGCTACAGTTTTACTCATTTAAAACAAACCCCAGTAAATGGATCAGGGCACCAGAAGATTTAAGGACGCTGGAGGAGGAACGCGTGATGAAATAATTTAATATTATTGCAACATTTCAGCTGCATTAAAGAGTCAGATCAGCAATTTGCCCTTAGCAGTGGTTTATTGAAGTTTTCAAGCAAATAGCTGAGATAAAGCTACATTCACCTGCAGCTCTTTCTAAATGTTTAATCACAACAAACTCATTGTAGTTGTCCCCTTTTTCACACCCTCTGAGTTTGCAGGTATGAATATATACTTTTTTTCCTATTGCCTAAATGAAATTGAAGTAGTTATATTTATTATAGATGTTTAACATTTAGGTTTGAAGTAGATTATTTTTTGGCATATGTTGAAAAATCAGTTAGTCTATATTGGTGTAAAAGCTTTCATCAAACCTGGTTTTCACATTAAAATTATGTTTAAATACTATGTTGATTACTGTTCTTTCAAATGTTAAAAACAGTCTTCTGTTGGGCTTATTGAATGCAAAGGTTTGTTTATTTTTAGAAAGATTAAGTAAGAGTTTTCTTTTTAATTCATAACAGAACATCAGAAATCCTGACACTCTATTTTCCTGTGTTTGGACCAAATGCCCAAAGAAAATGTGTTTAAAATCGTAACTATTGTCCATGTTTCATTAAGAACACTGTTCTATCTTTGCTGATGTTTATTTTTCCTTTCTTCTAGTTCACAGGGAGTTCGCTGACTGGAGGGAAAGAGCAAGTGAAAAAATCAGAGGACGAGGACATGATTAACAAACAGAACAAAAAAAGGCCCAGGCCAACACTCATGCACATGTCCCCACTGCTAAAGGTACATTTGTACTTTCCTTGTGTCGATACAGTTAAAGTACACAACATTAGATGCTGAGAATAATACATTGTGTTTAGTCATGACTGAAGGCACATTTCTTATTTTTGACGTGGGATTCAGTAGATTGATCAACACCCCTGTAACTTACCTGCTGTAGACAGCAGTCAAACGTGGGACAAGCAGATAGAAGTTCTCCTCAAAAAGTCAAGCCAACAGCTTGTTCTAAAGCCGACTTCTGACTTTTTAAACAACTTAAATCACAAGTCCTCCAGTAAAAATAATGGCTTCAAATGTTGCTGGAAAACCTCCATTAACATTTGAAATCACTCATGTTTACCAACACACTATTATTTTTTCCAGCTTTATGCTGATATCAGGCTGGTTTTCCTCTTTCACATTGTGATTTAGCCACATTTGTAATGAAATACTGGAATCATATACGTGAAAATCAATTATATATAAAAAATGTGTGTGTGTATATATATATATATATATATATATATATATATATATATATATATATATATATATATATATATATATATATATATATATATATATATATATATATAATATATATATATAAATATAAAGCTATAGAGATGTGCGTAGGTATATTCATGTGTGTATGTATATGTAGTGGATACGTGTGTATGTCTATATGGATATGTATGGATGAAATATGTGCGAGCATATGGGCATGCAATGCACTTTAATGTATATATGTATATAAATGTGCAAAAATTCTTTTGCTTTTTGAATTTGTATCATTACTACTAATTTTCTCTTTCTTCTTTACAAATTGAACTCAAGTCAGCTAACCAGTCGAGCAATTACTTTGTATAGGCTAATTTATAATTTGTTATTTCATTGTAAAAATGTAATTTTAGTTAAAAAGGGACAGATAACATACGTTTTCTTCTTTCTGTTCCCTTTTCATTTTCTTGGTTTGAGAAACCTCAATTTATTTGTTAGCATTTTTTTTCTATTTTAATAATAAATGGGCTGCATGGTGGTGCAGTTGTTAGCACTGTTGCCTCGCAGCACGAAGGTTGCAGGTTTGAAACTCGGCTGCGGCCTTTCTGCGTGGAGTTGCGTGTTCTCCCCATGCATGCGTGGGTTTCCTCCGGGTTCTCCAGTTTCCCCCACAGATCACAACATGCCCTATAGGTTATAAATTGCAAGTCGCTTTGGATAAAAGCATCTGCCAAATAAATAAACATAAACATAAATGAAATAAATATAAAAAAGAAAATACATTTGTATCCCTCCATGTTTTCTCTGCTAAACACTTAGAAGAAGCTGCGCTTGTGAATGCAGCAACAGAACTCTTTCATTGATATTTATTTTGTCTGCCTGACCTAAAGTTCTGTTATAGAACTGTCTGCTTTAGACAGTTTCCCAACTTAAAATGATAAGTTGTACAAAATGTATTTACCTATGATCATTTAAAAAACTCATATTATTTATTTATATATATATTAAATTTTTTTTTTCAGAAAAAAATGAGGTATTCTTGTACCAAAGATCAGTCCTTTGCTTCCGTTGGCAAACATGGTGTCTTAAGAGAATTCTCCTTCTTTGATAAGGTGAGGAATCGATTTTTAAAATGTTAATTTTGTTTCTTGTTAAAGAGCAAGTTCACTGAGAAAACATTTTTTACTTTGTTTTTAGAAATACTATTGGTCATTCTAACACTCTAGGCTGAACATGAAAATGCTGTAAATTAGTACAATTGGTGTTCATGGACTCACTCACTGGCTCATGATGGGGAAGGCTGTTGTGAACTTATTTAGGTCTTCTGCCTCCATGTTTCTTTATGTTTTTATTTCGACTGTATTTTGTCAATTGTCTGATGTGATTATCGTTTCAAATCACTTGTTCAGGTTCGTCGCCTGTTTAAAAGCCAGGAAGTGTATGAGAACTTTCTGCGCTGCATCGCCTTGTTCAACCAGGAAGTAGTTTCAGGGGCCGAGTTGCTGCAACTAGTGACTCCTTTTCTGGGGTGAGTGGACGGACAGATGAATAAATACGTACAGCAGCTAAATGGGAAGGTTATTCAGTCATCTGTAAACTTGATTTCAAAGCGTTAGGAAATACTAATGTTATAGTAGTAAAACAGATCATCTGTATTGCATCTAAATTATTTTACGAGTAAACATTTGGTTATTGATCAGCTGGTTCACTTCTAACTTATCTGTCACTACGATTTCATGAATCTTCTTACAGGAAGTTTCCTGAGCTGTACACACAGTTCAAGTCATTTCTGGGGGACAAAGAGCTCTCTCATGCTGTGTCAGGGCTGTCGGATCGTTACATGGAAGGGGGAGGAGGCAGGGAGGTGGATTATGCTTCTTGCAAGCGCCTGGGGTCCAGCTATAGAGCATTGCCCAAAACCTATCAGCAGCCAAAATGCAGTGGGCGCACTGCCCTTTGCAAAGAAGTATGTATCTGACTATTTAACCTATTTGGATTTGTTTATTTGTTTTATTAAAGGGATTTTCTTTTCTGTTTCTTAAAAGCTGATTTGTTCTGTTTTGTTTTTGTTTGTTTATTTTTTTTACTGAACGTTATTGCATTTTTTGTGTAGTACTGAAACCTGTAGATCAGTGAAACTAATATCAATGACAAAGTCAAGCTGCACAAAACACAAGTAAACACTAAACAGAATGCTATTTATCAGACTGTCTACCCATGGCAAATGAAGAAATGTTCTGCTGTCCAATATTTTTTAGAAGAAAGCTTGTATTGTTGAAGACAGATTGGTGGCATCTTCTATTCTGTCTGTGTGAAGGTATTGAATGACACCTGGGTGTCATTCCCCTCTTGGTCAGAGGACTCCACTTTTGTTAGCTCCAAGAAAACTCCATACGAGGAACAGCTGCATCGTTGTGAGGATGAAAGATTTGAGGTATACACATTCCAGGAATGATTTTCTGTTTAGTTTTTTTTTTTTTGTTAAGTAAAATTTGTTATGTGTTCCACGTGTTTGTGTCCTGGCTGTGCCTAAAAAACATGGCACTCTAACATGTGGTAAATGACCCTGTAAAACTTGTAGTTGGATGTTGTTCTGGAGACAAACTTGGCCACCATCAGGGTGTTGGAGAGCGTACAGAAGAAGCTGTCTCGCCTGTCACCAGAGGACCAGGACAGATTCAGATTAGACGACTGCCTGGGCGGCACCTCCGAGGTCATCCAGCGCCGTGCTGTGTATCGTATCTATGGCGACAAAGCTCCTGAGATCATTGAGGGACTGAAAAGGAGTCCCGCCACGGCTGTGCCTGTGGTGCTGAAGAGGTAAGGTTTTTCATTTTCTGTCTTTATGTAGAGTACGTTTCACTAGTCTTGTTAACTTGCACCTCACCGTTTTCTGCAGTAATACAGCTTTTAAATATGCACACATTAACTTTGAAGGAACACAGTGAGTTTACATGTGCATCAGAAACCGAACTATTGCCTTAAGTAGACTAATGATGTTTGTTTCAACTGCATGTAAACAAGTTTGTCTTGCTGAAGGCGAACAGGTTCTAATCGTGCTAAAGCTCCTAGATAATGCGGTAGGAAACAAACTTCATCTGCTTGCAAACAGCTCAGTTGAGCTGATACCAGTTTCTTCAGGAAGTGATGAAACCGTGGAAGCGGTTTTCTGATACGATCATTGCCACAAAGTAGGGCTGAAACTAATCATCGAATGGTTCGATTAATTAAATTCCTCGAATCTTCTTTTTTTACTCAAAGATTCAAAGCTTCGTTAAATGTGCCCCCCACAGTCTGAACACATTTTACTGGAGCACAGTTTGGTAATCTTAGGTGCCGTAGAGGAAAGTAGAGAAACCAGCAAAGACACAAACCATTGTAAAAGGTAGAAACAGTCCGTTTGGGATCAAGAGTTGAACTACAGGCAGATAGGCTAATGCTACCGAGTAGCATGTTCACGATCAAGGGGGGTTCTGAAAGTACACGATGGTTGTGAATGACTAAAATCTACAAGCGGAAGAAAAATCCCCAGCATTCCATTTATTTGTGGATGTCTGCAGATCTGCAGCATCTACCTGGAGTCTGGGTTGTTGCCACAAATCTGCTACACACACTGCAGCAGAACTGTGGCAAGCAGTTGTAGCATGTAATTCACAAACACGTCTGTCTTTGAATACAACTTATACTGCATTATGTTGCCAACCCGTACATAATAAAATGGATATGCCACAGTTACTCAGTTTGTTTTGATACATGGACTGCAGTAACCAAATTTGACCTCAGGATATTATTCTTACTTCATGCACCTTTTAAGTTTATTAAAGCTATTCTTTCTTTAGATTAAAAGCCAAGGAGGAGGAGTGGCGAGAGGCCCAGCAGGGTTTCAATAAGATATGGAGAGAGCAGTATGAGAAGGCCTACCTGAAGTCCCTCGACCACCAAGGGGTCAACTTCAAACAGAATGACATGAAGGCCCTGAGGTCCAAGAGTCTCCTCAATGAGATTGAAAGCATCTATGATGAGGTAAAACTTCTTAGATCCTAAAAAATGATGAAAATATAATGATGAATGAAGCCTGAATTGATATTAGTTCATTTAATGACTCATCTATTACACCGTTTATGTTTGAAACATGAGTTTAATGTATGGCTTATTTAGTGTAATTAAAATTGAATGCTTTGTAAACTTGAACTGATCAATTTTTATGCTGAAAAGTAATGCTGACAAAGTCTTGCCTTAAGTGTACATCAACAAATGGTGTTTGTTTAGAATGAAATCCTGATCCAGTTGATTTCAAGTTGGATCTGAATTTGTCTTCTGCATAAATTAAAAATTAAACTTGCATTCTCATTCTTAGGTTTCGTTACAGATATTGAGATGATAATCACATCTCACCTCTCCTGCACACTGGGAGCATCAGCAGAGTGAAACGGCACTGCTTCAATTAGAATATATTATAGTTTATGGAGTGTAACAAACCAGCTGCAACACTGCAATTTTCAGACATGTTCCCAAAGTAGCGTGCCGCAAAATATAGAATAAGATTCTATTTTTGCCACAAGCCGCTTCTTGGATGCATCAATTACCGCAGTTAACATAGAGCTAGACAGGAAATTGCGCACACTTCGGGTGTAAAATTCCCAGTAAAAAAAAAAAAAGTATTGCATATGACATGACATCAAACAGCGATAACGTGATTTCCTTCTTTTTGGTTTACTGGCGCATTGGCATAAACAAACCGTAACCTTTGAAGTCTCAAGGGATTTTGTGATCTTATGAGTTCAGCGAGGAGCACGGCAGAGAAGCCGCTTCGCTGTCGAGTCTTTCCCGGTGTGCACTCGAGTGCAGTGATTGTCGTGAGTAAACCGTTCCGCTGCCGTCCTGCGCTGCTGATGCTTTCAGTGTGCAGCTGGGTAAATGGAGCAGGGCTCGGCAACGAAATTTGGACTGGATTCAGATTTGTGTGGTTTGTCTGCCGCTCCACAAAAGGTTCCAAATCACAGCATAGCTCCAGAAGGATCTCCTTCAAAAGATCAGTGCGCGTCACCTCCAGAGCACACACTCTGCCAAATCCTCCAATAACACAGATCAGCCATGCTACAATGTCAGATTCCCGTCTGTCAAAGGTGGTTTTAGCACCAATTATGCGAAAAGGCACCTTTTCTACCGAAATAATTATTTATTGGGTAAAAGGAACGTATGGATGACTGAGACCCTCAGTATTGTGGTTCCTTCATTCTACCACTAGATGCTGTTCGTAAGCATGGTCTTTTTTATTGATTTTATATTTAAGAAAATTTCCACGCACAACTACTAAATCAAGAATTCCACACAATGCATATTTTAGTTCCTACGCACAATATACGCACATATCTGAATGTGAGTACGGTTGATAAATGAGGGCCTTGGTTTTGGTCTTGTTTGGGAAATGTTTAGTCACTTAATGCTTAATGTGCAGCAGTAAGTCCTCTATGTGTGTGTGTATGTGTGTATATATATATATTATATATATATATATATATATATATATATAGATATATATTCGAAGGATCTTTCATGGCGGTTAAAACGAAGAGTCGGAGTACCCGGCCCGGAGGGTTACCGGGGTCCCACCCTGGAGCCAGGCCTGGGGTTGGGGCCCGTGAGCGAGCGCCTGGTGGCCGGGCTTTCGCCCATGGGGCCCGGCCGGGCCCAGCCCGAACCGGATACATGGGCTCGTCCAACTGTGGACCCACCACCCGCAGGAGGAACATGAAGGGTCCGGTGCAATGCGAATCGGGTGGCAGACCAAGGCGGGAGCCTTGGCGGTCCAATCCCCGGACAAGAAAACTAGTTTTTGGGACATGGAACGTCACCTCGCTGGCGGGGAAGGAGCCGGAGCTTGTGGCAGAGGTTGAGCGGTACCGGCTAGATATAGTCGGACTCACCTCGACACATTGCATTGGCTCTGGAACCCGAGACCTGGAGAGGGGTTGGACACTCTATTTTGCTGGAGTTGCTCCGGGTGAGAGGCGGAGGACTGGGGTTGGCTTTTTGTTAGCCCCGAGACTCTCTGCCTGTGTGTTGGGGTTTACCCCGGGGGACAAGAGGGTAGCTTCCTTGCGCCTTCGGGTCGGGGAACGGGTCCTGACTGTTGTTTGTGCTTATGGGCCAAATATCAGTTCAGAGTACCCACCCTTTTTGGAGTCCCTGGGACGAGTGCTAGATAGTGCTCCATCAGGGGACTCCATTGTCCTGCTGGGGGACTTCAATGCTCACGTGGGCAATGACAGCTTGACCTGGAGGGGTGTGATTGGGAGGAACGGCCCACCTAATCTGAACTCGAGTGGTGTTTTGTTATTGGACTTCTGTGCAAGCCGCAGTTTGGCCATAACGAACACCATGTTCGAACATAAGGATGCCCACCGGTACACTTGGTACCAGGGCAGCCTAGGTCACAGGTCGATGATAGATTTTGTAGTCGTATCATCTGACCTGCGGCCGTATGTTTTGGACACCCGAGTGAAGAGAGGGGCGGAGCTGTCAACTGATCACCACCTGGTGGTGAGTTGGATCAGATGGCAAGGGAACATGCCGCGTAGACCTGGCAGACCCAAACGCATAGTGAGGGTCTGCTGGGAACGCCTGGCAGAAGAACCTGTCAAGACGGTCTTCAACTCCCACCTCCGGCAGAGCTTTGACCACGTCCCGAGAGCAGTGGGGGACATTGAGTCCGAGTGGGCCTTGTTCCACTCTGCAATTGTCGAGGCGGCTGTTGCTAGCTGTGGTCGTAAGGTGGCCGGTGCCAGTCGTGGTGGCAACCCCCGTACCCGCTGGTGGACACCAGAGGTTCGGGGAGCCGTCAGGCTGAAGAAGGAGGCCTACAGGGCGTGGCTGGTCTGTGGGTCTCCGGAGGCAGCAGACAGGTACCGGATAGCCAAGCGGGGTGCAGCAGTGGCAGTTGCCGAGGCAAAATCTCGGGCGTGGGAGGAGTTTGGTGAGGCCATGGAAAAAGACTATCGATCGGCTCCAAAGAGGTTCTGGCAAACTGTCCGGCGCCTCAGGAGAGGAAGGCAGCAACTCGCTCACACTGTTTACAGTGGGGATGGGGAGCTGCTGACGTCAACTGAGGCTATAGTCGGACGGTGGAAGGAATACTTTGAGGAGCTCCTCAATCCCACCAATGCGCATTCCGAGGAGGAACCAGAGCTGGGAGGCCTGGGGATGGACTGTCCGATCTCGGGGGCAGAAGTTGCTGAGGTAGTCAAACAACTACACAGCGGCGGAGCCCCGGGGGCGGATGAGGTTCGTCCTGGGTATCTCAAGGCTATGGATGTTGTAGGGCTGTCATGGTTGACACGTCTCTACAACATTGCGTGGTCATCGGGGGGCAGTTCCTAGGGAGTGGCAGACCGGGGTGGTGGTCCCCATCTTTAAGAAGGGTGACCTGAGGGTGTGTTCCAACAGGGGGATCACACTCCTCAGCCTCCCTGGAAAGGTCTACGCCAAGGTACTGGAGAGGAGGGTCCGATCGATAGTTGAATCTCAGATAGAGGAGGAGCAATGTGGTTTTCGTCCTGGCCGTGGAACTGTGGACCAGCTCTATACCCTTGCAAGGGTGATGGAGGGGGCATGGGAGTTTGCCCAACCAATCCACATGTGCTTTGTGGATTTGGAGAAGGCTTATGACCGTGTCCCCAGGGGCACCCTGTGGGGGACGCTCCAGGAGTATGGGGTGGGTGGCTTTCTGTTAAGGGCCATTCAGTCCCTTTACCAGAGGAGAGTGAGTTTGGTCCGCATAGCCGGTAGTAAGTCGGACCTGTTCCCAGTGAGGGTTGGACTCCGCCAGGGCTGCCCTTTGTCACCGGTTCTGTTCATCACTTTTATGGACAGAATTTCTAGACGCAGCCGTGGTGTGGAGTGTGTCGAGTTTGGTGGCAGGAGAATCTCGTCTCTGCTTTTTGCGGATGATGTGGTCCTCCTAGCTTCATCCAGCTCTGACCTTCAGCTCTTGCTGGGTAGGTTCGCGGCCGAATGTGAAGCGGCTGGGATGAGGATCAGCACCTCCAAATCTGAGACCATGGTTCTCGACCGGAAAAGGGTGGCTTGCCACCTCCGGGTCGGGGGAGAGGTCCTACCTCAAGTGGAGGAGTTTAAGTATCTCGGGGTCTTGTTCACGAGTGAGGGTAGGAGGGATCGGGAGACCGACAGGCGGATTGGTTCGGCGTCTGCAGTGATGCGAACGCTGAGCCGATCTGTCGTGGGGAAGAGGGAGCTGAGCCAGAAAGCCAGGCTCTCGATTTACCGGTCGATCTACGTCCCAATCCTCACCTATGGTCATGAGCTTTGGGTAATGACCGAAAGAACGAGATCGCGGATACAAGCGGCCGAAATGAGTTTCCTCCGTAGGGTGGCCGGGCTCAGCCTTAGAGATAGGGTGAGGAGCTCGGACATTCGGGAGGGACTCGGAGTAGAACCGCTGCTCCTCCGGATCGAAAGGAGCCAGTTGAGGTGGTTTGGGCATCTGGTCAGGATGCCTCCTGGACGCCTCCCCGGGGAGGTGTTTCGGGCATGTCCTGCCGGCAGAAGGCCCCCGGGTCGACCCAGGACACGTTGGAGAGGTTACATCTCCAATCTGGTCCGGGAACGCCTTGGGGTCCTGCTGGAGGAGCTGGTGGACAAGGCCGGGGAGAGGACGGCCTGGAGCTCCCTAATTGGGATGCTGCCCCCGCGACCCGGACCCGGATAAGCGGAGGAAGACGAGACGAAGATATATATATATATATATATATACCCAGTGTATATATTAGGGCTGCAACAACGAATCGATAAATTCGATGAAAATCGATTACTAAAAGCGTTGGCAACGAATTGCGTCATCGATTCGTTGTGTTGCGCAACTCTTCCAAAAGCCCCCTCCCCTCCCGCCCGCCGTTGCGCGCAGACCGGTGGAGAGCCGGCAGGTGTTTGTAAGAGGAACATGGCAGAAGCAGCGAGACTCCAAAAAAGTAAAAACTTCTAAAGTTTGGGAGCATTTTCAGTTAAATCAGGCGAAGACATTCAACGTTTGTAGGTCAGACAGCATGGCACGGGGATACTACGGTGATGATGCAGCGTCTTAAACGCAAGCATGTCAGAATCATCAGCGAGGAAGGAGAGAGCTCGGTGTCCGGGTAAGTTAAAAACTTTTCAAAAGTGATTCATCCAAGCCCCGGATTATTACACAGGCTAGACATGCCCTAAGCTCGTAAAAAAAAGTCCATAAAATTGTAAGCGCGACGCTATTAGATATGCGGGGGGGGGGGGGGGGGGGGGGACTCGCGCCGCTGCGAACCGGTTCCGCCGTCACATTCCCGCAGAAACTGGTTGATCACACCGGGGCCAGACTACTAACATGTGGTTTTACAACCGCAATGTCCTCAGAAGCGAAAACGCTTTTAAAAGGGAGGGAGGAGTCCTAACTTGCTGCAGGCGTGTTGTGTGAGAGTGCAGTTATATACTGGTTAATATATTTTTGGGTTCAGTTGCTTTCATGTGGCCTAATGTGAGTCTATTTGGGATCATTGGAATGATCAGCAGCATTTCTTGATGTGACTGTATGGCAGTTGCCCAGGGCATCATCACAAGGAGGATGGCATTCATTTACTTTTGTTTTATTTGGTATTTTTTCAGTCATTTTTGGAAATAGTGATCAATTTTGATTAATTCACAGCCTATGTTTAATTACATTTAAAAATTAGTTGTTTGACATCCCCAGTTATAATAAATGTCTACGGATGAGATCAAACAAAACAGATGAGAATTGCCCTTAAAGAGCAAGTCACCCCCAAATAAACTTTTTTTTTTGCTGATAAACTAAATAAACGAGTGTCTAATCGTGCTGCAGACACGTGTCGTCAATAATTTGGCACTTCAGTGCATCTTAGTTCAAATTTAAATATTCTGCCTAAAACTGGCAGTGTTGTGCCGTTGTCAGGTAAAAACTCTGCACTGTATTTTAATTTAAATCTGCCACCGCTATTGGCTAAGAAGTATGATATGATGTAAACTGGTACATTATGATGTCACAATGCTGTCATGAGCCTGAGTGTGTGTGTATTTGTTAGCGGCTCCGCCCTCTCGGTCTGCCAGGCAACAGCATGTGTTGCATTTTTCAAACATAAAGCAGGAGTGGAGTTAGTCTCTGGTAGGGGTTGACTTGCTCTTTAAGCTGTTTAACTTGGACCAAGCATTTTAGGTCACAGATAGGTGTAGCTTAGGGTCTCTGTCTATACACCTTATAAGACAATTTAGGTGATGGCATGTTGTTTTTCTGCTATTGAACTGTTTTCTAATAATGCTGTGTTTAATAAAGTGAAGGAAGGAGAAAAATAACGTTTCCCTAGCAGTTTTTAAAAATGTCCCTATGTAATCCGATTAATCGATTAATCGTGTCGAGACCCCATCCGATTAATCGATTATCCAAATAATCGTTTGTTGCAGCCCTAGTATATATATATATACCCAGTGTATATATATATATATACCCAGTGTATATATATATATATATATATATATATATATATATACATGCATACAAATAAATAAACAAAAACAGAACCCTCTTTTATTTTATGTCATTCTTCAAACCATATATTTGTATTACACACTCGCCTAAAGGATTATTAGGAACACCTGTTCAACTTCTCCTTAATGCCATTATCTAATCAAACAATCACATGGCAGTTGCTTCAATGCATTTAGGGGTGTGGTCCTGGTCAAGACAATCTCCTGAACCCCAAACTGAATGTCAGAATGGGAAAGAAAGGTGATTAAGCAATTTTGAGCGTGGCATGGTTGTTGGTGCCAGATGGGCCGGTCTGAGTATTTCACAATCTGCTCAGTTACTGGGATTTTCACGCACAACCATTTCTAGGGTTTACAAAGAATGGTGTGAAAAAGGAAAAACATCCAGTATGTGGTAGTCCTGTGGGCGAAAGTGCCTTGTTGATGCTAGAGGTCAGAGGAGAATGGACCGACTGATTCAAGCTGATAGAAGAACAACTTCGACTGAAATAACCACTCGTTACAACCGAGGAATGCAGCAAAGCATTTGTGAAGCCACATCACGCACAACCTTGAGGTGGATGGGCTACAACAGCAGAAGACTCCACCGGGTACCACTCATCTCCACTACAAATAGGAGAAAGAGGCTACAATTTGCACAAGCTCACCAAAATTGGACAGTTGAAGACTAGAAAAATGTTGCCTGGTCTGATGAGTCTCGATTTCTGTTGAGACATTCAAATGGTAGAGTCAGAATTTGGCATAGACAGAATGAGAACATGGATCCATCATGCCTTGTTACCACTGTGCAGGCTGGTGGTGGTGAAATGGTGTGGGGGTGTGTTATTGGCACAGTTTAGTGCCAACAAAACACCAAGTTTAGAGCCAGTTGGGCATGGTTTAAATGCCACGGGCTACCTGAGCATTGTTTCTGGCCATGTTCATCCCTTCATGACCACCATGTATCCATTCTCTGATGGCTACTTCCAGCAGGATAATGCACCATGTCATAAAGCTCCAATAATTTCAAATTGGTTTCTCGAACATGACAATGAGTTCACTGTACTACAACGGCCCCCACAGTCACCAGATCTCAACCCGATAGAGCATCTTTGGGATGTGGTGGAACGGGAGCTTCGTGCCCTGGATGTGCATCCCACAAATCTCCATCAACTGCAAGATGCTTTCCTATTAATATGGACCAATATTTCTAAAGAATGCTTTCAGCACCTTGTTGAATCAACGCCACAAAGAATTAAGGCAGTTCTGAAGGTGAAAGGGGGCCCCACATAGACAACATTCATGCTGCTTCTTGTTGACAATATCTAAGCTAACATTCCATCTACTGGGTACAGTGAGAAGGATGTTGCTAGCTAGTTAGTCCTGTAAAATATGGCATCTATGTGTGCAAAAAAAGATTATTCCTGATCTTTTTTGACCATTTGGACAGAAGACTGGTTTTTGTGGAGCAAAAAAAAGGAGAGAAGGCTGAATCAATCGCAGGTACCGTATAAGAGCTGAGAAGCAAGAAAGTACTCAAGTTTTTACGGCTGCTAAACATCATAGAACTGAAGCAAGTTTTCACATTGCACACTGTACTAAACACAGAAAGCCATTTACAGATGGAGACTTATAACCTCAGACATGTTTTTATGGGCTTGGATGAAGAGTGTCCTCAGCGCCTCCCGTAGCTGCCTGACTGCTGGACATTTAGAGCTGGGTACTTCTTAAAGTTAATAAGTGTAATCCCCAGATAACTGAACTGGCAAATGCAAAACTGGGGTAGGAATCTCAATAACATGTTTGTCCCTGTAATAACTTATGTTGGTTAGTTTTATTTTTTCATATTGTTGTGAAGAGTCCATAAATACCTGTTGCATTTCTTATGGTTGATTGGTGGTGTTTTTGAAAATTTCTGATCTGCTATTTGCCAACATCTATCAACAAATGTAGTTCAGTGAAGTTCTATTACCAGCCCAATAGTGGATCGAACTGTAAAATTTTACAGTATATGGTATGAAACTGTTGATACGCAGCATTATTAAATTTCTTCTTAATGCAACAGTTCAAATAGCTCTCATCGTCAGAAAGGTTGCCGACCCCTGAAAAGGAGCATTGATCGTTCTTGGCAGCCAGTTGCTTCTAGGCTCTAAGATGAGTGTTGTGTGATTCAAATTAATGATGGTTCTGCATTACCGAAAGAGTTTGTACCATTTATTCATCTCATTTCATGCTGTTTTCTTGGTGCACATCACTTCATCTGAAGCAAGATTTTCTTCTAAGTTTAAATCCTATGTGTTTGTGTTATTTCAGCGTCAGGAGCAGAGCACAGAAGAAGGTGGTGTTGGCCATCAAGGTCGTAACAGCTCTGGCTCTACCTCATCCAGTGAACCTCACATGATGTTTACATATGAAGACAAGCAGATCCTTGAAGACGCTGCCTCCCTCATCATCTACCATGTCAAACGTCAGCCTACCATCCATAAGGATGACAAAGACCACATCAAGCGTATCATTCAACACTTTGTTCCGGATCTGTTCTTCGCTCGCCGCGGTGAGCTCAGTGACACAGAAGAATGGACAGATGAGGAGGCTGAGCTGGAGGAAGGAGGTGAAAGAGGAGGAGCTGCACCATCTGTAGCTGTAGGAGCAGCAGCAGGAGGAAATGGTAATTCAGACAATTCATCTGGAGGAGTAGTGGCCACAGGAAGTCAAACTCAACCACAGGTGGCCCTGACCCACCCATTGCAGCAGCAACAACTACAGCAGCAACTCAATGGTGAGCCCAGAAGACGACGCTGCAGCCCATCACAGCCTGGAGAAACCGAACCCTCTGCCATCCCTGGTGACATGAGCCAGCCTGCAGGGACTACCGCACCCACACCAGGCTCTTTACCCATGGAGACTGGCTCCGGTGTGGCTGGGGAGAAAGTGGACCTCCGTGACCCTGAAGCAGAACACCAAAAGGAGCTGGATGGAGTCTACAACCTTTTTTTTGTCAACAACAACTGGTATTTCTTTTTGCGGTTGCACCAAACTCTTTGTTCACGATTGCTGCGCGTTTACCGACAAGCTGAGCAGCAGCTGCTGGAGCACCGAGCAGAGCAGAGCAGAGAGAGGCTGCTGATGGCAGAAGGAAGGAGGGAGAAGGCGTGTGACCTGGCCATGGAGCTTCGCCTCAAGCAGCCCAGTAAGTTTCAGCTGCCTTAGCAATGCAAAACATAGTAGAGGAACAATTCCAACAGAAACTGAAAAATAAGTATTGAGGTGTTTAAAATCTTGTAGGAAAAGTTTAGAGATTACAGCACACATGCATAACCCTAACACTAACCAAATGTCACAGTGAGAGAACTTTTACATACTTTTAATTCAAATGGGTTAACTATGCGCAGTAATTCCTATTGATGAAAAGATGAATATTTGTTGTCTGCAGATTTTGATTTAGGCAGTTTTTTTGTAAAATTTAAAGGAATTTTTGAAGTTTTTCTGATCAGCTGCCGTCTAAGGATGTTCTGATAGTTCAGTGGTTGTTTTAAAGCTTTGATCTAAATCATCATAATAATTTGCCATAAATCAGTTACCATATATCACTGAGCAGGAAGGTTTGTTGGCTATTTTTGAACTTTTATATCACTAACAATTTAGCATAAACATATCTAATCAATAAAAGATCACCTTCATGAGGAAGACTTGTTGGAAAACACAGCTGTCAACTGAATCATTTTTCTGTTGGGATGTTTTGACCCACTCTCTTTCCAAAACAGTCCTAAGCAAAGAATGGCAAGCAGCGTTACATTTAGAGGATGGTTGATTAAAATTCATGGTGGTTAGCTCCATAGTTGGACAGAGGATGACATCAGCTCCATCATTCTGAGTCTGTTTTTAATTAACCTGTCTATAAATATACTAAATAATCCAGCATTATAGTCAGCTTTCTTAAACTATGACTTACTCTGGTGCCAAACTAAGTCCAGACAAAAGGTTGGTGCATCCATACTTGACATTACTGCACATTTCTCTCTCTCTCTCACACACACACACACCTTTGGGTGTCCATTGCAGATCTACTCTCTCACCTTAAGGCAGATGACTGAACCGGGTGCAACAACTTGCTGTTGAAAAAAATGTCTTCTCTACAGGTGAGGTGGAGCTGGAGGAGTACTACCCAGCCTTCCTGGACATGGTGCGCAGTCTCCTGGATGGCAACCTGGACTCTACACAGTATGAAGACACGCTGAGAGAAATGTTCACCATCCACGCCTACATCGGATTCACTATTGACAAAGTCATCCACAACATTATCAGACAGGTGAGATGTTTAGTTCAGGACTGAACTCTCACCTTTTACAGGCTTAAACAATAAATCCTTTCCTTTCTTCTGTGACATCAGCTGCAGCACCTGGTGAGCGACGAGGTGTGTCTGCAGGTGGTTGATATTTACCTGGGTGAGAGAAAGCGAGGGGCAGCAGGTGGGAACTTGTCGTCTCGGTGTGTCAGAGCGGCATGGGAGACGAGTTACCAGTGGAAATCTGAAAGGATCATGGCTGAAGAGAACTGCTTCAAAGTGAGCTCAGTGCTAGACAACACTTCTGTGATGGAAAATGTTTATTTTTCAGTTTCCATTTTCTCTTCAGAAATCTTCCGTTTACAGTTACTGGTTAATTTCAGCACACTAAAACCTACCCATCACTGGGCGTGGTCTTTGTGAGGATGTGATTATTATAAAAGAAAAAGCCCCAGTTGTCTTGCTGTTTCTCCAGAGCTTGTATTAAAACTTGTCTGTTCAGTGGTTTTCCAGCATTGATGGTGGTTTACTTTCTGTTTTTAAAGTAGCTTTTTAATATTCTTTGGCTTCAGGTGATGTTTATCCAAAACAAAGGTCAGGTGACAATGACGGTTGAACTGCTGGACACTGAGGAAGCTCAGGCTGATGACCCACTAGATGTTCAGGTAACCATGTGTTTGTGAACTTGCTTCCTCACAGGAACCTTGAAAGGATTCAGACCAAAATCAATAATTAACTGAACTTGTTACTTGCTCTTGTTCTCATTAGTGCCTGTCGAGCTACATGGAGCAGTTTGTGGGAACAGAGTCCAGTTTGTGCTCCCAAGCAGAGGGTTACTTCTTCAAACCTGTGTTTCTGCCCAGGTAAGATATTCCTGCCCGGTGACGGCTAGGAAAATTTGCTCTCACGTGTTTCACTTTCATGTTACAGATACATTGTTGAACATCTATTTAAAAAAAGCCTATAAGTGTGTATGTGATTCAGAGTACAGTCATTGTGTTACAAACCTCTCAAGTCCTAATAAATGTGTCTGGTTGGAAAGGAACCTGCGTCGCTTCCGTCGCTGGCAGGTGCGGCAGGTGGAGGCAATGCGCTGCAGGAGGGAGTGGCACCGACAGCTGGCTGTGGAAAACGCCGGCAGTCTGGACTGTCGGTTTAAGCTCAACACCCATAAGATGGTGTTTGTCATGAACTCTGAGGACTACATGTACCGCCGAGGCGCGCTGGTTAAAGCCCGTAAGGTAAGCAAGAGTTAAAATGTAGTTTTTTTTTTCTCACACTTTGAGATCAAAACTAAAGTTTATATCTCTATTCCTTTCTACACTGTTGGTCTGGTTAGATTTGGTGTTGTGTTGTACAGAAACATGATGTTTTGTGTTGTTTTGGCTACATGGATTGAAATGGTGTGCGCTTTTAGTGTTTAGGGGTGAGAAATCTTTAATACCCAAAGTTATTAACTAAGGATGCTCCAGATCCAATCCGAGCCATTTGATTTTGAGTATCTGTTGATACCGAGTGCCGATCAAATGCTTTAGCAATGCATTAAAATATGAACAAAACCCATCCAAACTATCCTTAAAGTTTATTTTATGATCATTTATGTATTTCTTCCTGTTAAATAATTTCCTTAATTTTCTGCCAAAATAAACATCACTTGTTCAGGAAACCTGCTGATGAGGACTGTGTTAAATATGTTTAAATGTTGCCTTGCCGCTCATCTCATATAATTTCCACAGTCTGTGGTGGATTGAGTGATATGTGTTGCTGTGACAGGGCAGGTCCATTCTTTTCTGCAACACTGCGTGTGTAATGGTGAGAAAGCCAGTGTGTGATACATACAGCTTTTTGGCTGTGATATTTTTGCATTCCGTAAGCTGTCTCTGTTTTTAAATGGTAAAGGGCCTGTATTTGTATAGCACCTCTTAGGGTTACTACAACCCCCCCCAAGGTACTTCACAACACAATCGGTCGTTCATCCATTCACACACATATTCACACGCTGGTGGGTATGAGATACGATGTAGCCACAGCTGCCCTGGTGCTCACTGACCGAGGCGAGACATCCCAACACTGGTGCCACTGGTTCCTCTGACCACCACCAGCAGGCAAGGCAGGTTAAATGTTATGCCTATGGACACAACAGCAGCATTCTCTGGTAGGAGCCGGGATCCAACCTACATCCTTCCGATTACTGGACAACCCGCTCTACCCCTCCTATCTATCTATCTATCTATCTATCTATCTATCTATCTATCTATCTATCTATCTATCTATCTATCTATCTATCTATCTATCTATCTATCTATCTATCTATCTATCTATCTATCTATCTATCTATCTATCTATCTATCATCTATCATCTATCATCTATCATCTATCATCTATCATCTATCATCTATCATCTATCTATCTATCTATCTATCTATCTATCAAACTTTATTTATATAGCACTTAATCATGCAAAACATGCAACTCAAAGTGCTTAACAAATTAAAAAGGCCCCGCATAAATACATTCCCTCCCATCCCCAGAATTGTAAAAACAGTCTGACAATAAAAGCCCCTTCACAACACTCATTCCCCCCCCACCCCCCACCCCCCATGGAAAAAACATGATGGGCTGAGATCAGGTGAGCCAAACCAGCTAAGATAAGGATAAGGAAACGCCATCAGGGGAGCCCTCCGCCCCGACAGCAGCAGCCGAGACACCAACCCAGGGCAGGGAGGGCGGAGACCCCCACCTCCACCCAGGCACACCTGGAAAGCACTCAGGCCGCCACAGCCGACCACCGTCCCCGGGGCAGAGGGCGCCCACAGAGGAAACACTGGTAAAAGGTTAAATTAAGTTTAAAATATGAAATCATAAGAGCTAAAATGAGAATCGTAATATAAAAAGTTATATAAATATTAAAATAATGTTAATCATAAATCTATGGTAAAAAAACTGTTTAAAAATAGCACGTATAAAGAAAAAATACATGAAATAAATAAATCAATAAATAGATAGATAAATAACCTAATTTTTTTATTTATTTATTTAAAAAGTGATAGTAATCAGTTAAAAGCTAAGCTAAAAAGATGGGTCTTGAGCCTGTTTCTAAAAACATGAACGTTCTCTGCATCCATGAGGTCCCCTGGCAGCTCGTTCCAGAGGCGAGGACCATGATACTGGAAGGACGCCTCACCGTGAACATGAGTCCTGACTTTAGGGATGACAAGGAGATGGCTGCCAGAGGAGCGCAGAGACCGCATGGGTTTATACAGTAAAAGTAGTTATGAAAGATAAGAAGGCCCAAGACCATTAAGACACTTAAAAATCGTTTAAAGTATTTTCAAATTGATCCTTAAACATACGGGGAGCTATGTAGTGATTCTAAAACTGGAGTGATGTGCTCCCACCTCCCGGTCTTCGTCAGGACACGTGCTGCTGAGTTTTGTAGAAGTTGTAGACCTGAAATCCTCTTTTTAGGAAGTCCAGAGAGCAGGGCATTGCAGTAGTCTATCCTACTGGTGATAAAAGCATGCATCAACGTCTCCGTATTGGCCCGAGAGAGAATGGGGCGGACTCTGGCGATGTTCTTGAGATGATAAAAACCTATTTTGGTGATAATTTTAATATGATGGATAAAAGTCAGCTCAGAGTCAAAGGTGACACCCAGTTGCTTCACTTGTGAAGATGGATTAAGAGACAGTGATTGTAATTTTGGTAAAAGTTTCTCTCTCTGGGCTAGAGCCCTGCACTGAAGCCCTAGGCCCTCGGATCAGCCCGGCCCGACGGCCCTTGGGCCGGGCTTCGGGCCAACGACTGTGTAATTACCTCGGACACGGGCCGGGTGCCTTTATTTTTAATCGAATTCATTGAAAAAAATGGAAACACTTAAACCAGGGGTCGGCAACTTGTTCCCATCAAAGAGCCATTATTACCCGTTTCCCACAGTAAAAAAAACACTGGGAGCCACAGCAGCCGCGGCGTTGTGGGCGGGGCCTACCCTCAGACAGCAAAGAGCTGCTCACAACAGGTGACAGCAGCCGGTACCAGTCGCTCGTGTACATCAAAGTTATCTTTCATAAAAAGATAATCAATAAAACGATTTATATAAAGTGGATCCAGAAGTTGTAGCCCGTCTCTGCCCACAATATTTTGATACTTTTCACCCTGTTGGTGGTTTTACTGAGCAGGTGCCACTTTTGTCATACGTTTCTTTTTAAAACATGTTTAGACTGTTCAGAATACAAATCCAGGCTCTGTCACGTTTGATTGTTGTAATTAAACTTTGTAGGTGGGGAAGGTCAGAAAAGGATCCGATCATTTTGTTTTTCCCTCATTTACAGTGACGGAGATAACGGCGCAGTGCGCCTGGCTCTGGTGTTAATCAAGTTTAATTTTATCTATTTTCACAAGAAAACAAAACAGTTAAAAGCGGGGCTTGTGTTGTGTTGACCGGATAGTTCCCGTATTTGGCCGTTTATTTTGACGGAGAAAGAATAGAAAGAATTACCCCGACACAAGCAGATGAACTGACACTTTATTCGTTAGGCACATCGCAGATGTAGCTAAATCACTCAAGAAAAGATTCCCATCTGAACATCTGAGCTGGACACTGCTCAGCGCAGCTCGCTGTCAGCGTGTACTACATAAGGTCCACAGCGAGCTGAAGTTGTGGAGATTGGCTTGGAGCGCGTCGCAGAACCAGAGCGCATGCAGGAAGATTCCCGCTGATCTGAATCTGATGCGGCTCTCTGTGCTTGTAAAATAATGAATGGATATTTAAATAAAATGCTTTATATTTTACTGAATTAATTTTATATCTGTAAGTCAATTCTATGTAAAGATTGTCTGCGTAAACCTGAACAGGCCCAACCCGGTCTTACTGTGAGACCGGGTTGACAGGTCACGCTTGTGCGTAATCATAGGCGCTTCCTGAGCTGAAGAGGATGTCAGATTCTGGGCTTCTCCTCAGATGGCTCCTGGATGCGTTGCCACATTGGAGACAGGAACAAGCGCTATTCAGCCAAAGTTTCATAATCAGGGAACATTTCTAAGTGACAAGTCTCTCTGAGAGACAGGGTTTGGAAAACACTCGCTTCAGTGGGAGGAACCTTCCCGCATGCGCTCTGGTTCTGCAACATGCTCCAAGCCCCTCTCCACATCTTCAGCTCGCTGTGCACATATGCGCTGACAGCAAGCTGCGCTGAGCAGTGTCCAGCTCAGATGTTCAGATGGGAATCTTTTCTTGGGTTATTTAGCTACATCTGCGATGTGCGTATCGAATAAAATGTCAGTTCGTATGCATGCGTCGGTCGGGGTAATTCTTTCTATTCTTTCTCCGTCAAAATAAACGGTCAAATACGGGAACTGTCCGCTCAACACAACACAAGCCCTGCTTTTGACTGTTTTCTTGTGAAAATTGTTGGAAAGAGATCAAATTTAACTTGATTACCACCAGAGCCAGTGCGCCATTATCTCCTTGACAGTAAATGAGGGAAAAACAAATTGATCTGATCCTGCACGTCTTTAATTATTATGTTTATGTTTATTCACTTAGCAGATGCTTTTATCCAAAGCGACTTACAATTTATAACCTTTAGGGCATGTTGTGAACACATTTTAACACAATGGTCAGGATTGACGTACTTTGTTTTCATTTAGTTGGTAAAAAAAAAGTCTGGCTAGGGTCGGGCCAGAGAATCCTGAAAACCTTTTCGGGCCAGGTCGGGCTGGGGCTCCACCCCCTCGGGCCGGGCCGGACACGGGCTCAGATTTTAGGCCCGTGCAGGGCTCTACTCTGGGCCTCAGGACCGATAACTAAAACTTCAATTTTGTCCTGGTTGAGCTGGAGAGTTTTCTGCCATCCAGGATTTAATTTCTAAAATGCAATTAAAAAGTGCATCCATTGGCCGTGTGTCATCAGGAGACAGAGATGTACAACTGTGTATCATCAGCGTAACAGTGGAAATTTACCCCATGTCTCCTGATGACACTGCCAAGAGGGAGCATATAAAGGTTATAAAGTACTGAGCCTAAAATTGAACCCTGGCGCACACCACATGTAATCCCATGGACCCTAGAGGAACAGGTATCCAAACTCACCATAAAAGTCCTGTCTGTGAGGAAGGAAGTGAACCATCGGTGAACAGCACCAGAGAGGCTGATCCATTTCAAACGAGTTAAAAGAATAGTGTGGTCTACTGTGTCAAAGGCAGCACTTAGATCCAGTAGAACCAACACAGTCACCTTCCGTTTATCATAATTTACTCTAAAATCGTTTAAAATCTTCAGAAGGGCCGTCTCGGTGCTGTGGTTCACCCTAAAACCAGACTGAAAACTTTCAAAGACATTATGGGTGTTGATAAAATCATTAAGTTGAATTAAAACAAGCTTTTCTAAAACTTTGCTTAAAAATGGCAAGTTGGCTACTCGTCGATAATTGTTTAAGTAATTAAAATTTAAATTGCTCTTCTTCAGCCGGGGGCTCACCACCGCCCGCTTAAAAGTGGCAGGAAACTGTTATCCAAACTGTTTGAAAAATGCAGTAAAAGGAGGGATTGCCTATCAGAATGCAGCCACATCAGAAATGATGGATAACGTCCAAAATCACTGCTTAGCCAAAAGTAATCAAATCCTATTGTAGTACATATGCTTAAGCTGAAGAGGGCACCACACTGACTGTTTAAGGCCGAATATTTATATTAAAAGAAATGTTTGTTTTTAAGGTGGCGTATCCAGTTCTCTTTCCCACTACATCTAATACCCAACATCCACACAATAAGTGTCTGTTGCACTTCCTTCACTGTCCGCTTTAAAACACGTCCAAACTACTGACACGTTAGCTCTGCATTTGCCTGCTAGCCAACAGCTACCTGTTATGGTGTCTGATTTACCCAGCTGTGTGACGTTATGGTGTCATCTGTGAAACAATCAATATCGATGTGGTAAAACTCGTTAAAGGAAAGCTAAGCCATTGTTCTCACATTAGAAAAGTAAGATATCAGGATAATTTTAACGGGTCATGCATGTTGTTTTACAATGCCATGTCCCATCTTTCTCACCCAATTCTGATCTTTGAAAGTCTCATGATCAAGCCGGAGCGTGTTTTCTGATCTGAATCAAAATTTGCTTCTTTGGATTTTGATTATCCTTTATCTCTTCTGTGCCAGCCTTTCAATGTTGTGACAGGTTAATACATCCAGAATTTTTTTTTAAATGAGCTTTAATTTGTTTAGAACCAAAATCAACTGAGTTTGACTAAATACATTGAAAAAGACATCCTTTGAAGAGAAGTGCGACTATACCTTTATGTTTGGAGTTTAACTCATTTGGTCTTCCACATAAGAGTTTCTGATGGTTTTCTCCTTCCTCCACAGTCTCAGCACAGAGTGGCATCGAATCAACATGAGCGCTTTGATAAATGGCATCAAGGCTGGCTGAGCACCCATGTCACAGCTTCAGCTGAACGCTCTGTGCAGAACTGGCTGATGGGTGAAGAGGAGGAGGACTTCATCCCCTGCAAGACTACCTGCATGTCCACTGAGGTGAAAGGACAAACGGTCAACAGATACCAAGTTCATTACAGCAGTAGCAAAGCTCCGTCCTCGCCGTAAAGGGGTGGAGGACACAAGAACGCACCCTGACAGGTAAATGCATGGACTTACAGGACATCTGTACACTAAACACAGACATGAACAGCTACAGTTGAGTTTCTCTGCCTTCAACCATGGGTTCACTCATTCACCTAAACTCATGGAAGAAACAAACTGGCTGAAACGCTGTGAGTGGGTGAATGAGTGTGCAGCGTGGGGAGTGAAGACGAGACAAGGACCAACACACAGTGAAGTAATCAATGAACGTGAACTCAAATCTTGACTGATGGGATCAGTCGGACACAACGGCACAAACGAAGCTCATCTCTTCTCTCGTGGCACTAAAGCTAGCAGGACGGATCGATCAGGTGAGAGGTCATGAGATCATGAAAGTGTTTCGGAAATGTGAATGTGTTTCTTTTTTATGTTGGGTGTAGTTTTTAGCTTCTAAAGCCTGAGAGCCTTCAGCCTGTTGGTTGATAATGTGCGTTTATATGGAGAGATAATGATAAATGTGTGTGTGTTTCCTGCTCTTCATTTTGTCTGTAAGTTCAGAACAAGTTCTACAACTAAAGTATCTGCATTATTACTGTATGTGCATATACAGGGATCCTGTATTTTTATATATATATGCATCTACATTGGTTAACTCATCAAAGGCCACGTGGTTCCTTACAGTGTTTGCTGTCAGCCAATTCTTGATGTTCGTGCGGTTTCTTTTTAAAGTTTTTTTTTTTTGTTTTATTTTATTTTTTGTATTTTTTCCCCTTTCTTGTGTTGTAGCTAAACGTGTTATCACCAGGGCAACGAGGAGTCCTTAAAACAATTGGTTTAATAATGATAAAACAGTTGAATAATGTATCTGTCATGATTTCACATAATGTTTCTTTTTGCATTGTCTCTTTTGCATACTGACATTGACAATAAAAGCAAAATATCAGTGTTAAAAGGAATGTATAATGTTTATCCTGTATGAGTTATTAGAAAATAAACAATTTAGTTGTGATCTTTTTAGATGTTGACTTGCAGGATGCTTGTTTTAGAAAAGTTTAATCTTTTAGTTTTGCTTTTCAAACTTGAGACGAGTACAGCGAACAGTTGGTGCTTTTAAAATCGATAAAATATAGTCGAGCTGAAATGAAGGTCAGAATAAAATAAATCTGCCCCAAAGTTTAAAAAGTTAGTCTTTTAATTGACTTAAATGTAATGACGTTCAGCGTTAAAAGTTAAACTAATCATTGCAGGGATCGTTTTGCTGAATTTAACTCAACTCGTTTTATTTTTTATTAATTCATTTTTTTTTAGTAAATTTAAGTGCTTAAGATGAGGAACACTTCTTGAAAAACAAAGTGGTTTTGTTGATTTCCAGCAATGACTTGTAAGCTTGGGTTGGATGTTGACCTCTGGCGTTTGACTTCTCTCTGCTAAAAGGCTTCTCTATTTTCTATTTGTCACTCTGAAGGTAAAAAACCACCATAAAACCTGTAAATCCTGTCCGGGCCTTTGGGCAAGTCTGATGTAGGTAACAGTGGGGGAAGAATTGGCTGTTGAAGTGGAATGTGAAATACTGCACAGAGCTTAAGAACAAACAAGACCCAATTACAAACCCACACAAAGACAAAGCAGGACTAAAGGGCCAAAAACTAAAGGAAGTGGCAGAATTTGACAAGGTGAACAATGCTGCATTAAGGCCAGGATACAGAGAATCCCTGTAGAGGTTTAAGCACCAGAGCGTTGGCCAATGAAAGAAGAGTCATGAGGCTGAGTGAGTTTTAAAAATAATCATGGTTTATAAAACCCAGATATGACAGGATCACCAAAGTGTGTACAGAAATACAAATACCATCAGAAAAACCATCATAGGACATAGTTATACACTCACATGTACAAACTACGCTGTCAAAGGGACTCGGGGAGAGACTTAAGACGTTTCTCTTTAGATCACATTTAGCCACATTGTACTAACTTGGCTTTTTTTTTTTAAGTATCTTGTCAAAGCAGAACATCCATCTACCAAACTACAGGTACTATCACATTCAGCTAATTCAGAGAAAGGATACGAACATCGAGAGAAGGGAGGGGCAGATGCACACGTTTCAAGCACTTTAACGTAATGAAGGTTTCAACAAGCAGAGGGGAAAAAATCCTTTGTGGTTTTCAGTCGTGAGAAAATGAGAAACTGTACAAGAGAACCCTGTTTTTGTTATTTTTAGCCGTTCAGACAAGAAAACAGACACAGGTCCCTAAAATGTTTTTTCCACACAGATCTTAAGGCTTCCAGTGATCAGTTTAATAGCCTCTTTATTAGACATGGGCCCTCTCTGAACCGGAGTCTGTTCCTGTGCCCAGGTTAGGTATCTCAAAGTGCTTCTAACTGCAGGACAGTTGACTACAAATGTAATGTCACAGGTATTTGTCATGCACCTTCTCAAATGTACAAACAGCTCAGCAGCAGACACAGGAATCCGCTCCCACACCCCCACCTCGGAGATGGGGCCTTAAAATGCAACGAAAACATCAACATGATACAAATACAGCTTTGTTTTTTCTGTCTATACAAACACACCTTTACACATGAAAAAGAGTGCAGGATTGTGAGCAATTAAAAAACTCCTCACTATCTTTAAAATACTGCTGATGGAGCAAAAACGGCAACACATGAAATTCATTGTCTGTGCGCACAATGATTTCTACTATACACATTATGGCAAATAAATTAAGATTCATGTACAAATTAAGAAAAAGCAGCATGCAGGTGAGAATGCTTTTTTTTACAAGACTTGACAGGAGAGAGGCTGTGTGTGTGTGTGTTATTGTGTCTGCAGCATGTTGATCTGAACAGAGAAGCCATCCGCCTTCTAAACTTCCCAACTTTCATTGGACAGACTTTCCAGTCTCTAAGCTGCTAAAAAAGGTTAAAAAAAATTCTGTAACAAATCTGTCCTGCTGCTCATGATGGGCTGTGACACAGCACAGACCCTGGGAGGAACACCAGAGCAGGCATTTAAAGGATCTAAAGTTGTTTTATGCATACAAACCACAACACCTGAAATCACACAGGTTAGGCAGCGTTAGAGCAAAACATTAAAGAGATCAATGACAAAGAAAGCTGAATGCTCCAGGGCTCTGAGCTGGACACTAACATGCCAGAACCTTTACATCTCGACGGTCGCAAGAGTCATTAGGTCGATGCATATTTTTATTTTCTAATAAGGTATTTTAGAACTCTTTCAGTGTAAAAAATAATCAGTGAGAGTCCTTATTTCTAGTAGCACCTCTTTATGGTGACTTGTTGAAATGCAGTGATAATGACATAAAGCATCCGTTCTTAAATCCAGTTCCTTGTTTTTCTTTTTGTAAATTTTTTTTCACGTTCTTTTCTCACAAACCTATTAGCTTCACAACAAAGTCATTCTGCTGCTCCGATGGATCTTCAGCTCTTGTATTTGGCTTAATTGTCCTCATGAATCAAAGTCAGATGTGAAGTGTTCCACATTTGATCTTTGGTCCTGCTTTCCACAATGAGATCCACTGATATTTACAGCCCGTCAGCTAAAGCAGCCCGATTAAAAAAGGAAAAACATGACTCTGAGAGTCGGGCTCTGACTCACTCAGGTATGGATGAACACATTTACCCTAGCTCCTATTACGTTCATGAAGAAGAATGTTCTAGTAAAAAAATTTAGTATCACTTCACAAATCTTAACCAGTACTGTGATTTCAAATTCCACTAGTCGTCTTCTATTGGGGGTTAAATATTAGCTTATCAAAAAATGTGGCACAAGTTTAACCACGAAAAACATTCCACAGAATATAAAATACATCAACGATCATCGTGAGGATGTCCAATCTAGTCACACTAGTTAGTATAAATAACATCTAGAAGTACTATAACCACAGTGATAATGAACAAACAAAGAAACTTCAAACATGCAAAATGCTTGAACCAAATCATCTCTTTTGAAGTACCTTTTTTGTGATCTAAATGCACTTTTCCTGCAAGTGCCTTCAGGGTTGCGATTTTGCACGTTACAAGAAAATAATAAAAATACTAAAAGAAGTATAAAAAGAATCAACAAGTTGAAACCAGTTGATTAGTTCTGATATGCAGATAAGTCTTTTGATTGGCTTTGTCTTCTCCCTGCAGATCCTAATGGTGTTCAAAAGGAGTGTAAACAGTCTTCTGCAGCCTGTTCTGAAGAGAAATGAAAGATTCTTGAACTAAACATCTCAAAGTAAAAAAAAAAACAACAGATATTTAAAAAGTCCGTTTAAGAAAGCGGTTGATAATTCCAGGCAGTGTGGGTCTGGTTTTACAGTTATCCGATGATTTCTTTTGTTTGTCCATCTGTGTGACACCAGTTCTCTCCTCAACAGTACATGACATTGCGCTTGTGCTTCTGCGGGTTTCTTATTGTGTGTCTCTGCAATCTACTGTGTGTTTTCCATACCTATGAAGACCAGCTCTAATCACAAGCACGTAGAAATGAGGTAATTTTGACTTGAGGGCAGTCCTTGCCGACTGAAGGGTTAAAGGTTACAGGTGTACATTTAAACTGTGAAAGGAGAAGGTTGAGAAGTGTGAGAGTGAAGGTCTTTATAAGTATAGAGTGTGGATGTTGATGCAAAGGATTCAGCTGAAGGCGTCATCGTCCGTATCTTCAATCAGCACCTTTGTGTCTTTCTTTGATCTATAAACAGAAGAAAGTGTTTGTTTGTATTTAGTTTTTCTTTACAGTCTATAAACAAAATAAAACGTAAAGGTGTGGTTGACGGGACAACATTTTTTAATTATTGTTTCTGATTATAATCAGTCACTGAGTTTTTCATGCAGGCTGAACATAAAAATAGTCTTCTACATAAAAAAAATGATGAAATGATAGGATTTGAAAATCTTCACATTGTGATGTCACACTGTGAATTAGCATTCATGGCCTTGCCCATCTTGGCTCATGCCCTCCCACAGGCAGGTTTTGTTTTGCAGTGAGGAGAGAGAGTGAGAGTGTGTTAGTGATAGTTACTGTGCAACATGGCTGAACGCGTTCTGTTGGCCAATCAGACGAGAGGTTTGTGCATATGCTTAATATTGACTAATCCTGCTGTTTTAAGCCCACCTTTGCTTCCAGCAAACTTCTGCATCTCAGAACATGAGCATCACATCTTTTTTTATGACTCATAAGGCATTGACTTACACTAGAGAACTCTGCAAATGCACTGAATAAACAAGTTAACGACACCTTTAAGAGACAAGTCTCTGTACAGTTTCTTACTGTGAGGTGGACAGCAGAGGGCGGCGGAGTGGCAGGCTGTGGGACCTCTTCCAGGTCTTTTTGCCTGAGCGGTTCCGAACACCATCCTCCTGGTCCATCATTTGCTCCAGCAGGGTCTGGTCATCAGCGTTGAGTGGCGCCACAGAGATGTCTCTTACCGCACGAAACTCACCGCAGTTATTCAGGTGCTCGTTCTCCAAACGGAAGAAGTTCCACACAAAACGCCTAAGGGGCAAAGAAAAAGAGCCTGAATACTTGGGTTTCATGATGTATGGGTAGATATGGGGAGTTTACTACTGGAGGTTCTGTTCCTGACATGGGAATACCCCAGACTAACCTAAAGACCTCCAGAGGAGCAAGCACGGTGGCCACGATGTCGCCCACAGAGTGACCTCTGGTCATTGTAGTGAGAGAGATCTGGATCGTCCAGGCAAAGCGCAGAATTACGTCCTCTATGATGGCACAGTAGTAGTAGGCCTGGAAAGACAGGAGACGGTTACAGTGTGTGTGTGTGTCCACACTTTTAACTAGTCTCAGACGCTACCTTGTGTGGGTAAACAATTTCCTCTCTCAGAAACGTGTTTTCTCCAGCTCCACGATCAAACAGACCCCAGTCCATACGCAGGTCCCAGATCAGTGTGTAGAGAGAGCTGACGATGGAGAACACGATCAGCAGGTAGAAGAACATGTCGGCGTCCGTATGTCCTTGTTCTGAAAGAAGCATGAACACAAAATGATGTCAAATGATTGTGTTAATAAATGAAAGAGAAAACCTTCCACTAACAACCACTAGAGGGAGCCATTCTTCTGTGAGTGAGCCAGGAAGGATGCTAGAATAAATGTTTCCTCCTATTTTCATACACAAGTTTTTTACTTTTATGGAATAAACAGCACTTAGCACTTTCCTCTCACTTTTCTCTCACACAAACATTTATCAAATCTAATAACCAGCTAATAACTAATAATCAGCTTTAATTTGATCAGTTCAGTAATCAGAACCAATATAACTGCATTTGTATGAACGCATACAATTAAACCAACTTTCAACCTCACTTTAGTTAAGTGTTTTTTTCTTGATGTAAAAAAAAAGTTTAATATTTTAAATGATTATTTTGTCTTACCACGTTTCAGTATACATTGTTTTGTAAAATCCTTATCTAAGATGAAACTACAGTTACAGTCTGTGTGTGTGTGTGTGTGTGTGTGGGGGGGGGTCCTCAGCAGCACCTGTATGTGGAAGCTCTGTTGATGCGGTTTGCTTGTTTCTCAGCAGGTGCTGCTTTATAAATCAGCACCCTGTGGCCTTTCACAGCGACTCACACAGACACAGACAGCAGCTACCAGACGGAGATCGGACTCGCTCCCATTTGTCATCATCACTGTTTCTTCCAGCTAGCAGCCAGCAAGACGCCGGGGATTAGAGAGAGTTACAGCTGCCTCCTTTGTGCCGTCTGCTGCTTCGACTGAGCAATGGGATGGAGGCAATTCCTACGGCCACACACATCTGCCAGATGTAGATTAAACTTTGTCCTGGACAATAGTCTTTTCGCTGGAGAACTGGTGAGGTATTAAACTCTGCCGTGTGTGTGGATGCTGCTGCACTGGTTTGATGCTGAACCATTAAAAGGTTAAACATGGTGAGACGAACATTGATTAGCTGGTCAGTAAGGGCAAACGGTCGTCGCTGGCTGCTGTCACACACACTCTATCTCCATTTGGCTGACATACACACATGTGAGTGCACACACAAACACAAATTCATGTATACACATGCACACACACGCACACAGTTATAATAGTTTAGTCCGATTCAGTTTGTGCTATTTCAAACACTTCTCATCTGTTTCCATAGCAACTTAATTGTCCCACTAGGTGAAAAGGAGTCAAGAGGTTAATGAGGTCCACATAACTTTAATGACCACGCTTCAATTCAGGAGGAATCCTGCAGCTGAGACCACATATATTATTAGATTAAGAGCATTTCCTTCTAAACCTCTTGTATTTATAAATGGGATAATAAAACACGAGTAAAATAGTTTTTATTACTCATTCACCTACTGCAGCTTCTGCTGATTTGCTGCGTTTCCACATAAAATCACTACTTATATTTTCTAAAATGATTGCCACTAATTTTGTGCTTGTCAGCAACTTTTCAAGCAGCTTTTCTACTTCAGAATGAAGAGCATGTTCCATAGCTAACTAAATAATCTGAACACTTCCACTTTAATAGTTTTAATATTTATTAGAAAGAACGTGTTCCTTTCTAACACCGTGGGCTGCATTCCAACATGCCAGCTCTTGTTCAGTGTTTTATTTATACTCAGACTTTAAGCCTGTAGCTCTGATGCAGGTGAGATAAGAAGGTTTTTGGCTTCATCGGGTGTGAATCAGAGTTCAAGCAGCTAGACAGACAAAGCTTTAGCTCAGAGCAGAGGCTTTTACCTTCATGCAACAGTGTGTGGTAATTTATCTCCTGATTACAAACCAAAGGCCAGAACAGCTTTATTATCATGCTGCAAATGCTATTTTAAATTAATCTCCACTCCTGAATGTTCAATCGTCTAAAAATCAGGAAAAGATCATTTTTCACACTGGATCTCCCCACCTGTGGCTCTCTCTGGTTTTCTGTTCCTTCTGTTTTGTTCAGGCATACCTGTGCAGACCCTTCAGTGGAGCCGTACACACCCATTTCCACCTCCACCATCACTGCCAGTTTCTCACTGAGGACAGCTGGAGTGATTTTCTCCTGACTGAGATCCTTCTATTGTGTTTTAGAGGATTTAGCATTGATATCGCAGCCTACTACAATTTAAGATGTAGAAAATCTAACAGATACCAAAGAATAGAAATTAGTTCCTATTTTTTTTTAATTAGAATTCAGCCAGCATTTTCCATTAATGTTTAAAATAGTAAGTTTCCAGCAGCTGGATGTAAATCAGACTTGTGTGAAGCCTTTAAGAGTGTTTAACATATTCTGTCAAGTTTGCTTTTAACAGGAAATCCACAATAATCCCTAATTCATCAAGAATCTGCTGGGATTAGAGAAACATGACGGTCTCGAATCACAGAAATATGAATTGCGTCTGTTCTGCAACACAGCTAAAAGAGATCAATCTAAAACAGACAGAACAGCACTCGCCCTAGTCGTGTTACAACCAAAGATCAGGAGAGGAACACTATTCAGTCCTCCAGAAGCTGGTGATTTATGCCTTTCAATCTGGTTTTAGTGTTTTGCTTCGTCAAACCCAAATATGGACACTTCCAGGAACGGGCGAGGTAACACCTGACCCCTCAGGCTGTGATCACGTTAGCAGTGAAGGTGACACCTCCTCTCAGAGACACTGGGACCTTTGCCAGGAACTGACTGACATTCAAAACACATTTTAAAGCTGGACCCAGCAGCGTGAACATGACACCAGCCTGGTGGAAGCTGGGTACAGTAAAGCCAGCAAAAAATCACAGTAAAAGCTGTTTCATGAATACATTTTAGATGTTTGTTTTTATTATTTTCAGTCCTTTGGATATCTTTTTATGTTGGGATGAAGTATTTTTGGATGTTGGGGGCCTTATTTTGTTCTTCAGAGGTTTTAAAATCAACAGGAAAAGGAAATATCTCAATTTCCTTAACCATAATGATTCATGCGTCTGTCTTCCAGCCTCCTCTCTCACTTAACCAACGATGGGTCTCAGGCTCCATTATGAGCAGGATGGAATACAGCTTCACAGAGAATAACACATGAAGAGAGGCCATTAATGGGAAGGCACAGAGGCTTCAGACCAGAGGAGGAAGGAGGATATGGTTTAATGGACGCCTTTCCTACCGAGCAGCGAAAAGGAAAAAAACAAGATCTGTCTGCCTCTGTCTCTCTCTCTCTTTGGTCCATTCAGTATCACCGGCGGTCAGCGTAGGAAGCAAATGTATTGATTTTAATTTATGCTAGAAAAGGATAAAGTCAGGCGGAGAAATCACGTTTAGCGTTTTAAAAGGTCGTAGATGAAGTTTCACAGCTGGCATTCTGCTGGTAAATAAACACGTCGTTCAGTGAAATGCCAGAGTTTAAACACACGCCTGTCGAAATAACCGCTTTGAAAGGAGCTGCGGGTACAAAAGTCTCAGATGAGGAGCGGGCGAGCAAAGACTTAATGTTGAAACGGGGCTTTTTTCCTCCTGCGCACCAGCTCCTTTGTGATACGGCTTCTGAATCAAAATCGTTCCTGGCTAATTGTTGAGTCGTCAGAGGGAGAGTGCCTTGACTGTTAATGGTGATCATTCTTTCTTTTTCTTTTTTTTTTTATATTTCAAATGGGAATTTGATCCAGAGAAGAGCTTCTCCTCTGCCCTTAGAGCAGGACCCCGCTTACCCACTGCTGTATTTGACAAACCTCTCCAGTTGCATTAAAAACCTCTGAGCCCAGAGAAGGAAACCAGCACCAGCTTCCAGTGTTTGCACTCAAGGTCACCTCTGCTTTCTCAACACACACACACACACACACGCACGCACACACACACACACACACACACACACACACACACACACACACACACACACACACACACACACACACACACACGCAAAAGACTCACAGGCGTGTGTGTTGAAGCGCTTCTCTCGCACAACAACACATCAGAACACCTTGTGATTTTAAACATTGTGACCGACAAATCAAGCCTGCAACAAAGAACACACGACTCATAGAACAGACATGTTTCAGCTGCCAGGCGTACCTCTGTGTGTGGCGTAGAGGGCCGCAAAGGTGACGACAAAAAAGGTGGTGGAGTATTTCCCAGCATTCACCAGGTGCGGGAAGGCCCTCTTGGTGTCGCGATAACGCCTCAGGCATTGGATGAAACGCAGCCAGGCGGGCAGACACTGAATGATGGCTCGCAGGCCGTATGAGTAGCTGTGGCAGATGTGGTTTTTAGTATCTAGAAAGGAAAAAAAGGCAACTTTTCACCTTAAGTTATAATGTCTTTGTCCTGTTGTCTTTTTTTTCACTCCAGTCGTGTCCTGTCCACATCCCTCTGAGCATATAATCACTGCAAGAGGCAGATGCTGACCTCCATCCACGTTGCCAAACATTTCTCTTCCGTCAGCTCTGTTTTAACTGGCAGAGAGGAGGTCGAGGTAACGCCGTTGGAGAAGAGGACGGCAATTAAAAACCTGTCTGCAGCATATGTTTTTTCACAGAAATGTTTAAATGCCCGCAAAGCTATGAAATGATTCTGTCACATTTGTATCACCCCCATCTAAGTGTACCAGAATATTGATTAGAAGGAAGCAGGAGACTGAGGAGCATCTCGGATGACACTGAGCCGGATGTGAGATTCATGCACAGCATCAATCAAAGGCCTGAAACAACGTGACAGACAACAACTCACGCCAACTGCTAACATGTTCATAATTGTTGCATCAATTTGAAGTATTTTGTTTTCCTCTGTGTGTGTCTGCTGCTGATGTCATGCATTTAGTTGACAAACAGAAACACTGCTGTGAAAAGCAGATTTCTTCTGTGTCTCAATTAAATATTTCAGATCAGTAAAAATAGTTTAATAACAGACAAATACGAAAAATTCCTTTTCCTCTAAACATGACTGATTGTAGCACCCTTGGTGGTAATAACGGCAGTCAGACATTTGTAGTAAGAGGTAACGACCATTATTTTTCCCACAGAATAGTTTACATCCGGCCTTTTAGGGGGGATTTTCAGCATGAACGTTCTGTTAAGGGTCAAAGGTCAGATGTCAAAAGAGGAATTCATGGTTCTATCAGTTATAGCAAGTCTTTCAGGTTCTGAAGCAGCAACGTGGCTCCAGACCATCACACAACAACCAGATTTAATGCGACACACACACCTTTCAAAAAGTCCACAGAAGATTTTCCCAAAACTCTTGAGTATCAAGATGATGATCTGCAGAGTTTTAGGCCTTGAGACCCTCATAAATGCCTTTTTGGTCTCCTTATTGTTAAATAATAAAACCAAGCAAGCACTGCGGAGCTTCAGATGTTGTTCTGGGTTCTTGAGTTTCTGTGGATCGGTGATATGTTGCTTTTGGAGATCCTTTGGCCTACTCCATGTTGTCACAAAGGTTCTACTGGAGTAATTTCTGAATTCTACATCAAGTCTAAATGCTAAAGGGCCTGTATGTGAAATAGTATGTTCTAGGGTTCTACCCCCCCAAAAAAAAGGCGCTTTACAACACAAACAGTTATTCACCCCAACCACACAGTTGTACACACTGGCTACATGTAGCCACAGCTGACAGAGATGAGGCTGCCTGCAAAGCACAGGTGCCACCGGTCTCTCTGACCACCAGCTTGCAGGGTGGGTCAAGTGTCTTGCCCAAGGACACAACAACTGCAACAGACAGGACATGAACCTGCAACCCTCCAGTTACAGGGCTGACACTCAACTCCTCTGCCACCATCGCCACAATATAAATAAAAATCATAAAAATCTGCATACGAAGGTCAAAGTACGAGACAAATATAAACTGTAATGTTATTCTAGGTACAAAGAAGCAATAATAAACCCTACGACTTGATATACTTCTCATGTATTATGCTGAGAGCTCTGCCTCTTTAATAGGATTAGTTCATTCCTGAATAAGCAGCAGTTTAAAATCCCATTCACGTCTTCTGCCCTCTGGTGTAGGAGCTAAGTAATACAAGTGACAAGAGTCATTTTTCAAATGATCTGATTAAGGTTTCACACTTTAATGGGGTTGATATTTTTCAAAAATAAGATTTTAAAGTTCTGGCTAAATCATTACAGCCTCACCTTTGGGAAGAAGTCCCTTTTCGTTGCTCCACTGAAGCTCAAAGATGTAGAAGCAGAAAAGATACTCCAGGTCCATGAGAACAAACACCAAGGAGTTGAGCTGATCCGCCAGCCAGAAGTCTGCAAACTCCACCCGGTGAAATGGTGCCGTAAACACACGGAACTGGAGGAAACCAGTGGGAATAAAAATGAGGCTGCACAAAGGAATACGCATGTAAACACACGCTTAAAAACACACTGGCTGACCTTACTAACACACACATTTAATCTCTGAAGTCACACTTGATTAAAATACTTTGAACATCATGATTGGGTCAAACTATTATAGTGAAGTATTTTATTCAGTAAGAGTTCAAACCAGGAAATAATGGGACAAATCCTCCAGACCCTTATCAGCCTTGCTCAGGATACTCTAATGAGTCACGCTTTGTGTCTGTTGTTTATTTGTGCCACTAATCAGTGGCGTAACTCACAGACACGCAGCAGCCTGGCAGTATTTGAGTGCTGTATCGGTGGGTATGCTATTTGGGATTTGACTTTTGGCAGGAGCTCAGCTATTGACCATGTTTGTAAAATGATACAACCCTGCTCGACTTTTCCATTTACCCTGCAGGCTACAGCTGGCATTTAGGAGTAGCTGTAAATGCCTCTACATTCTCAAACTCCTCATCAGCGTCCTTCTACTGCAAATGCCAAAGGAAATAGATCCATTTTTGGTTGTTTTTACACACAAACACTCATCAGCTCATTTAATTTTTCACTTAACCTGTCAATCAAAGCTGGTATTGATCAAGAGGCTATCTCAGTCTCTTCCACTCAGGGTGGATGGCTCCAGGCTAATCCTGCTGTACACATGTGGTGAGGTTTTCATTCACTGAACAAACACAAGCACCCGCAGATGTTGGCAGTGCTGCCGTTTGTCCTGTTTTTTGTTTTTAAATAAACACTTTGGAGCGTTGCATCCTGACTGGTAGAACACATCTTTAGTTTCATGTGTAGTGCAAAATGAACTTACATGTTTGTTTGTAAAGACTGAGCCCGCATTTCTCTGCTGCAGGATCATTCATTATAAAGAACATGAAGGATAAAAACCATGATATGGGGGGGGATGAAGGAGAAAAACATGAACATGAGTGTGTGTGTGCTGGGTGGGGGGTGGGGGGGGGGGGTGTTCAGATGAAGAGGAAGAGGGAAAGAGGAGCTCAGGGCATCAACATGCTGATAGATCTACGCCTGTAATGATTGCACAGTCACAGCCTCCACCTCCCAGGAGACACGCTGCATTCTATTATTCCACAACCCTTTGCCCCCTGGTTCACTACCCACCCAACACACACACACACACACACACACACACACACACACACACACACACACACACACACACACACACACACACACACACACACACACACACACACACACACACACACACACACACACACACACACACCAGCCTCCGTCCTGCAGTCATGCAGCTCAGCTCAGACAAAGAACAGACTAACAGGAGGTTTTAGTAAACAAGTGTTTCAAGATGGATTTCTGAATTATGCCTACATTCACTGAGGGAGAGGAAGACACACACTCACTCACATCCATGTAGTCACATGGTTCCTTCATCTTAAACTGATGTATTACATGTTTTTTTTTTTATTTGTCTAATCTCGCGTGCAGTTTCCGGGGGATAATAAGCATGAAAAATGTTATTTTTTAAAAGCGTAATTTGCAAACCTCATTTTTGTCAATCAAAGCTAGATACTTTGGGAGAAAGACTTTAAAGAAGCAACACAATTTAAACCTATGTTACACTATATAGTTCTAAAGTTTATTAGCCTGATTTATAGTTTATTTTAAGTATTTAGGAGCTGCATAAACAGATTGCTATACATTTCCAGAAAAATCTATTCTGTGTAAATACAAGATTTTAGTTGGCAGAAGTCTTGTTATTCTCTTCATAACTATGTTTTTAGTAGGAGACATTCAAGAACACATCGTGTTTTATGCAGCATTGCTGCTGTAAGTGGGGCAGAATTAGGTTTGGTGTCAACTGGCTGAAATAATGAGACCTATGAAAATACATCATCTAAAAATTGTCAAATTTCACTTAGAAAGTATACCTCTGTCTCAGCTGTACTCCCGGCTAAGCCGGCCCTCCCACAGACTGTTACTACAGACAACAAAATGAGCAATCTTCCTCATCTTTTAAAACAAAAGCGAAAGTCTGTTTTTCCTAAAAGCAAGCAGAAACGTGGACTCTTTTCTGTTTGTCTCAGACTAGCTCATGCTTCAGTCGAATTTCTGCGCAGAGCCGATTTGTGGCTTCCTCCTTGCATAACACAGTCTCAGATTACATCTCTAGATGCAGCGGTGGCTCTCCAGAGCTCAGGTGGCTGTATTGATCCCAGTGGCATGACAGTTCCTTAAGCAGCACTTCTTGAACTCTAAAGCCATGCAAATGTCCCAGTAGCTTCTGATCTTGGTTTTTACACTTGGAACCACCTGAATGTTGCAGGGTTTGACATAATCTGAAGGTAAAACATTTCTGATGCACAATACTTAGAGAAAAGCACTAACCAGTAGTTTGAGGAGCCAGAATCGTGATTTATAGTAGCAGGTTTTGAATGGGTTGATGAGGAAGAGCACCATGAAACCGTAAAGGACGAGAGGGTTGATCTGCATGGGGAGGTGGATGAACTCTGAGTAGAGACACGAGAGGATGCTGACACACCACATCACACCCAGGAAACCCGCAATCTGCAGAACAAAGAGGAGAAACAAAGACGGCTGAAGGAAAACTGCTCTGAAACGCTGCTTAAGTAACAAAATAAACAATGAATTTAAGTGGTTATTAAAAACAGGCAATAATTCTGGTGAAAAAGACCTCAAACAGGTGTTGGTGTGAGAGGTTGTTTCTGGGATCGATCTCAAAGATGAGGACATGATTGACGCCATACTGTCTCCATCCATAGGTGTTAATCCCCAACAGGAAGAGGAACTGGATCAACAGGAAACCGCCCCGATAGATCCGCACCAGAGGCCACACGTTCTCATTACGGATAAACACCGCGCCTGACAGAACCACAGAACATTTACTGTACCAAGTATTTGATGATTCAACAATAAAATCTTCAGTAAAAAAAAACTGAAAAAAGAGCATAAAAATGGTAAATTTTAGACTGAAATTTAAGAGATTGGTCCAAATTTGCGAGGACATTAAAATCTGAAGGATCCTTACCAGTGAGAACGAAGGCCACCGCAAGGATGACGAAGAAGCCGCAGTACAGACCGACCCGAAAAGTCGTCCAGGCCAAAGCCGGCTAAAAGAATCACAAATATAAACCACTTCATATGCATATGAACTCAAAAGCTCACACTTATGATTCATGTACATTAATACTTTTAATGCATTGATTTTCATGCACTTGATGGTAAAACATGATGGACTTAACAACCCAAGTCAGACATGACAGTAATTATCACTGGAGTAAGAGTAGAAATGAATTTGGAGGTAAAGTGGCACAAGTGGCTATTATTCCTTAATGATATCTTGTCTGTTCAACAACAGAAAAGCACTTATACAATCGATAAAATGGCTCTGATGGTTTCCTCTCAGTCTCTGAACATTATCTCTCTGATTTTCTCAAGAAAAAAAAACTCCCACCTTTTTTGTATGAACCAACAAAATTAGAATACAGCAAGAAAAAGCAAAATAAATAAATAAATAAATAAAACCAAAACTTCATACAGCATAGTTGAATACTGATAGTTACATTCTTTCTATTGAAATAACAGACATGTGTCTTTCCTAAGTGATTTTCTGTGTTCTGACCTGAGCTGCCCCAAGTGGGGGAACCCTCAGCCTCTTCATGGCCCTCTGACGATCTCCCCCCTCCAGCTCCGTGGTTACCAGCGACTGAAACAAACATAATAATATTTTAAATCCATTTTCTGTCTGTTTTTGCATTAGAGCATATACAGGTGTTTGTTGTTTGTGCAGCAGGCACCTCGGTCTCGGTGATGAGCTGTGTGATCTTCTTGCAGGTGTAGAACGGGGCCACCTCCACGTGAGCAACACGCCAGTCGGCGCCGCGACTCGTGTCCAGGATCTTGTCATGTTTCTTCAGGATTTTTCGGAAACCAGTGAAGTTCAGGTTCTGAGGCAGGAGAACAAGGAACAACCCAGTATGACTTTGATTTTGTTAAAGACCAAGTTCACTCGTCTTGCCAATACAGTGGTCTCTAGTGTAAATGAATGCCTTGTGAGCCGATCTCTTTTGGGAGCTAGAAGTGAGCCAGAGCTGAGGTGAGCAGAAGACAGAGGGGCTTTGAGTCTTGTTTCTTGATATTCTGACATCTCGTCTCTGACTGGCTAACAGCAACACAACTCTACCACTGGCTCAGTTTGATTTGTAACATTAGGCATGTTTTCATTGTCCAAACTTCAGGGTAAATTCTGCGACGAGGAAACTGACCGGGAGATACGATGTCCCAGTCCTCTCAGCTGCTTTGACTCCATACAAATTCAGCTCTTTCAGGACTTTTCACAGATGTCAGTAGATCACAACTGCTTTGGCAGAGAGTGATGTCACTGATCCGCATCCAGGCATAACAGTAAATGTTTAATTCTGTCGAAGTATATCATAATGTAACACATTTGGAGGACGAGAGCAGCTGTGTGATGTAAAATGTGACGTTCGTTGACCGGAAGAAAGCTTCTCTGTGAGACAACAAAGCCCAGTGAAGTACGTTATTGTTCTGAGGGAATTCCGCCATGTTTTTTTTGGGAGTTTAGTAACAGCGATTTTAAAGCAGCGCAGTCACTGATTATTTTCTTTTGCTTTCATTCTGCTTCACAAACAACTCTTCTAATTTTACTAACGCCGGTTGTTTTAGATGATGTCTGCTTATGTAATTTCCCACTGAGTTACAACCAATCAGGGTGAGTTAACCAAAAGTTCTGCTCAGCTACTCCACCGGGCCATTTTGAGTACCTACCCTTGATCAGGTACACCAAAAGTGCCTGAAAACAGCCTAGAAAATGTCCGTTTTGCCGGCCCAGTGACGCGGAGACACCTATTAATGTTTTATCTCCACATACAACATAAGTCTGAAGGAATTCTGCCATGTTGCGGAGTTGCTAATGCTAATAGTTAGCTTCTACTAGCCAAGCTGCGCTCTGCTCTCTCCTCGGCTCCTAAATAAACAACAGTCTTCCTCGTCGTGAGCCAAGAAGGGTGAGTCCATGAATTATAATTTTCAGCGTGATGTAGATCTGAATGGCTTTTCTGACCCGAGTGTTTCCCCGTCTATTTTCTATCGGTGGCCAATGCAGGAGATAGGCGTAGAAGACTGTTTTCACATTTCATGACTCTATCCACCAATCTGAGGCTCCCCACAATGGTAGCCGTGCCTTTGAGTCAGCCAATCAGTCAGCAGTGGGCGTGTCAGCCCAGCCTGGCTCCAGGCAGATCTCTTTGAGAAGAGTCAGGTTTCGCTCAGGAAAATTCAAGGCTACCTAAATGAGAAAACTCCCAACGCGGTCCAGGCGGAGTGGAGCTGATGCTAGTGTGTAAGGGCCACTAAACTCAGAATGACCAATTATGTATATATATTAACTCATTCACTGCCATTGACGACTAAAATCGTCATTTTAAATCCAACCGTTCACTTAGCATTTTTTTTACTATGTGGACGTCGGAACGAGACCCCGCACCATGAGAACAAACATCTCAGCTCTAAAGCCGATCTTCATCCGCATATGTCACATGTCACGTGATCAGGAAGCAGAAAATCCATGTGCTAGGAGATCGTTTTGGGCCGCTGCTGTAAAAAAAGTGAGGCGCGAACCGGAAAAGCTTCTGCCGATCACAATTCAACAACAGATTATGAAAGAACGGATAAAGCTCGAAAAGCGCGGATTCTTCCCGATGTAAGAGGTGAGTCTCCGCTTTGTTTTGGTTGTTTTGGCGTTGACATCATCCTAGCGGGCAACATTCTCTGACTCTTAAAAAAACAGTAAAAACGGTGAGAAACGCTGGCAGTGAAGAGCTTAACCAATCAGGAAATGGTTGACAGCGAATGAGTTAAGGAGCAAGTCACCCCAAATCAACTTTTTTTTTCTGATAAACTATATAAATGTGTGTCTAATTTAGCTGTAGACACGTGTAGTCAATAGTTTTGCACTTTAGTGCATTTTAGTTATAATTTTCATTTTTCTGCCTAAAACTGTGAGTGTTGTGCCGTTGTCAGGTAACAACTCTGCACTGCATTTGAATTTACATCTGCCATTGCTATTGGCTAAGAGGTACCTTAGAACGTTAGCTGGTACCATATGATGTCACAATGTCGTTGTGAGCCTGTATGTGTGTGTGTGTGTGTGTGTGTGTGTGTGTGTGTGTGTGTGTGTGTGTATTTGTTAGCGGCTCTGCCATCTCGGTCTATTAGGCAACAGCATTTGTTGCATTTTTCAAACAGGAAGTGGGAGCGGAGTAACACTCTGGTAGGGGGTGACTTGCTCTTTAATAAAAAAAAATCAAAAACAAGTAAAGAACCGTTTCTCTGAGAACATGGCCTTTAACATTTTTTCCTCAACGTTTGCCTGAGTGAATGTGTAGAGAACCTGGTAGTTCTGGAGCAGGATGAGGCTGAGGTAGAACTCGCTGAAGGCTAGCTTCAGGTCCTTAATGTTGTGATGCTTGCTGCGCTCCTCCTGCGATAGGTGGAACATCGTCTTGCGTTTACGCAGGCCGGGCGGAGCGGTGCTCTCGCGCTGAGCATCCAGCGATGACTGCAGCTCATTCTGCAGTGTCACGTATCGTCTCTGGGCTTCGGCAAGCTTTTCTACAGAAGCAATGGTGAGATTAAAACCATATGAGGAATGAGTTATTAAGAAGGTTGCAGACAAGCAGCACAAATGTATTTTAAAAAACAACAAAAAGATATTTTTTATTGTGAAATCCTGTGTTCTTCTGTCAATCCCAGGAAGCTGGAGCACGGGGGCTCAGCTAATAAAAAGCTGCAGGCTGAGGAATCATTATCTGGGTCAGGGGGAGTTCAATACACCCAGAGAGGAGAGGAGAGGGAACACACAGGGCCTAAACAGTAAACTGTATTTCATTAACTTCTTTGACATTTCCATATGCCTCCAAACACAGATTAGCCCTCCTCTCCTGGTGTAGAACAATCAATCTAATCCAATCCCTCAATAATTTATCTCATTTAAATCCATTTTCTTTTTAAATAAAATATTTCCATACAGGACAATCTGGCTGAATGAATATGCCAGCCAGGCAGTCTGAGAAATCAAGGCCATAGTAGTTGTTGAATCTGTCATTAAATAAATAGAGTCACACGGCTGATGCGGAGGACTCGCTGGTGAATTTCACGCTTTGTCGCTCGAACTCACCCTGACACTTCCTCCAGACGTCACACTACCTGCTCCACAGGGCTCCCACGGCTCTTTATTGACATCTAATTTTACTGTAATCCTTCTGCTGGACTCGTATAATGTGAATGAACAATTCCTGACCACAATAAGAGGCCAGTAGGACACAGAGTGCCTGCCAAAAGGAGGCTTAAATTAAATCTGGAATCTGGAGAGCAGGCTAAAAAACCCAGAAGACTGTGTGTATTTAATGAAGCTTAAATGATTTATTGAAGCGTTTTGTTCTACCTAAGCTTTTAGAGAGAGGCAAGGGCTATTATTTATTTAAAAAAATCAGTCAACAAACCTACAAAAAAATTGTTTTTCTACCTGAATTTGCCCAACAAGCTGCATTTATGGGCGATGCAGCAGAATGGCTTTAGGAGGTCATGGACCCCTTTCAGAGGGAGATACCATCACAGAGTGATGCGGAGGCAGGTTCCTTGTGAAGTCAACACACATATATCTCTGTACCGCTTCTCAAACACACACACACACACACACACACACACACACACACACACACACACACACACACACACACACACACACACACACACACACACACACACACACACACACACACGCAGAGAGAGAGAGAGCGAGAGAGAGAAGCCGGCTTCAAATAAATCCACCTGCCGGACCAAAGTGAGCCATCTTTTGCTCTCCCTTCCTGTGTGCTGAGGGTAAACACACTGGCTGTGGGTGACAGAGACATGATGATGTTTTCATGCACAACAACCTCACACCTCCAATCAGCTGAGGAGGTGGTAACAGCAAGCCCGTCCAATCAAATCTACTCTGTTGATAAGATATGCAAACCATAACATTCCACCAGCTTTTGTTGTTTAGCGGAGAGGAAAATATGCATGTTTGAAGACCATTAATGGATCAAAAATAATGATATAAAAGCATGCCAGCTATTCTGATGAAAATTTCTGGTTCATAGCTATTTGAATCATGTTGTTAGCAAAGAAAAGTTCTTTCAACAACATGCGCAGTGACTTTGTTTGCGCCCTGCATCCATCAGCCTTTAATGTCCCCTCATCATTATGGGCTGCACGACATTTCCAGTGGACCTTGGCCCTCTGTTGACCCAGTTAGCCTGCAGTTTGAAAAACATCCTGCAGAGGAAGCACTGCTTGTTTGCTGCTCAGCTCAAAACAAGAAGTCACCCTTCTGGTACCAGAATATTTTAGGGTTTCCATCTCAGGTTACACAGAACACACGTTCTCCTTGGCTCCTGGAAATACACACAGGCATAGCTGCTCTCCTAAACACAAAAATCATGAGCCCCCCCTCCCCCCCCCCCCCCCCCCAGTCAAACGACCTAGATAATTCTCAGTCTTCTGCAATAAAATGTTTGAGAAAATTCGATATTAAGGTAAAACACATGTAAAAAAAAAATTCCCATCTGAGTAAAGGTTTATGCCACACACAGAAAAAAGTGCTGCCACATTGATGGAACACAGAGTGGTGTAGAGTGAGTTTAATCAGAAATCTAAATTATAACTATTAAATGGTTATACACTCTTTATGGCTAATTTTTGCAACTTTGCAGTTTCTCCTTTTCCAGAATGACATCACTACTCATGCTAAGGGGAACACAGATAGGTTTATTACAAACCAATTCCAGGTGGCTATAAAACTGAAACCTCTGGAGAGACAGGAGGTAATGGTTACCTGAGTAGAATGTGTTGATTTTCAGAAGCTCCTTCTCACAGGTCTGAAAGAACCTCTCCTCAAACTTTGCGTAGTATCTTTTTACCGTGTCTTCGTCTGCCACTGGAACCAAAAACAAAACAGAACAAACAAAACAAAAGGTTATTAATGGCTTATCGTCCAAAGAGACAAGAATGTGAGCCAGGATATGACGTGTTGAACATCTGGTCTTCACACCTAGAAACACCTGGGAGCGGGTCAGGCTGTTTATGAGTTTTCTATATATTAAAGTGGGAGGCACTGAAGGATGAAACATGCCACAGCTTCCTGGTAATGGACATTTATAGGAGCACCATATAGAAATGGACCAGCATCAGATTTTCTAAGGTAATGTTCTCAGTTATGTGAAGCAGACATTTTATTGGCTGTGCATTTCTATTATTTTAGACTTGAAAGGTCCTCTGTACACATATTTTCCCGAAACAAGACATACATATTCCAAATTTAATTTAGTAAAAAGGTTGTATTATAGAGCAGAATGGAGTTTTTAATAAAACACTTTCATCATACTAAGTTGCATATGTTAACTGATATATTTAAAGTGTCAGTGTGTATTTTTCCTGGCGATGGGGGCAGTGGATAACTAAATAATTGAAAGCAAGCAGTATTTTTTCCCCAACGGATGCCCATTAGGGTCAAAAAGCCCTGGGAAATAAACTTTAGCAACATAACAAGCACATCAGACTCCCTTTCATCACTAGAAACAAGTGAAGGGGTAAATGTGTAAAACAACATTTAAGAAGAACGAAAGCTTTGTAACCATTTGTTACATCAGTAAATGCATTTTGTCCTCATGGGCTCCCGTAGAAAGAAACGTAGCATCTAATATGGCGTCGCCCAGAGACTTAGGCTACGTTGACACTGTAGGCCTTGATGCTCAATTCTGATTTTTTGAGTAAATCAGATTTTTTGTGTGGCTGTTCACACTATGACTGAAATGCGACATCAAACTCTCTCCAGTGTGAACGCTCCGCGGCCCCAAAGCGACCCGCATGCGTAGAAGACAAGAAGTCACAGTGGAGCCGAAACCAGGAGCGGCGGAGTTGTGATATAATCCTGTGGATAAACTATCAGTGAAAACTTTCATGCCTGTTAATTCTTCCGTTTTGGGCTGAAAACTGTTTTAAAACTGTAAACTATTTTACTTCTTATTGCTGCTGTCTCCCTGAATTATTATTTACCGAAAATGTTCCCGTATTAATTCATTCACAGAATGAGACCCCCCCACCCCCACCCGGAGATGGAGACTGGAAAAATGCTTCGCTCCTGCAGCACCTCCCACTCCCGTTCACATTCTTTCTTGTATTTTTGATTCCAAAACCTGAAACAGGATATCCAGACAGACTCCTGAACCCTTCTGCCAGAGCTTCTCGTCAGGAACATCTTGGGAAAAACCTGACGCCATCCACACACAACGCTCACCTCCGCTGACTCTGTGACGTAGGCGATGGATTTAATGCGACATGACCGTTCAGACTGCAGTCGCTTTCAAAAACATCAGATATGTGTCACAAATAGTACCACATATTCAAGTGACACGGATCGTGTTTAAAAAAATCAGATCTGTGCGTTCAGACTCTCATAAAAAAATCAGATATGAGTCGCACGTGGGGAAAAACGCAGATTTGATGCGCTTTGCCTGCAGTGTGAATGTAGCCTTAGACCCGGTCCCATGTATTTTAGACCTAGTTTTAATTCATTTTCAACAACATTTTGATGGATATATCCAGATATTGGTAAAAACTACACATTGTCTCTTTAAACAAAAACAACAATCTCATATCTGATTGATGCTTTCTGATCTGTTATTAAACACCTAGAACATGCTGATTTTTATTTACTAATGGATAAAATATACATTATTTCTTGAAGGTTGATCTGGCAAACAGACGTCCATCTCTTCATGCCTCCCTTCTGTCTGACTGAACCCTGCATGTCTTTTTTAGGACGAGTCAATCCAATCAGTATTGATGCTCTGTCTCAAATAATCTTCTACCTCATTCACAACAGGATACCCAACACCTGCAGAGCTCAGGATGCAGCAGCAGGCTGGTGTAACTCTAGCTCAAAAAGATGCACAAATATGAACTACACCAAATACTGATGATGAGCAGCTCTTCACTAAAACTGCCCTGAGTGTGACAATAATGGTAAAACATCTGACAAACAACAAGTGATCCCTGCTGTTTGTCAATAACACATCTATATGTGGAGTCTCGGGGCTGCTGTTACACTGGAAACTAATGTAAAATGAAAAGGTTTAAAGCCCAAAAATACAAAAGTAATTGGTCAGAAATTCCATCATCAACAATAAAATAGAACAAACTTAAGTTGCAATTTCTGGATTTTCTATTTAACAGTAAAAAAGAAAAAGATGTCTCCAGGCAGAAAAAATCTGTCAATATTTCTGCACATGCAAGGTACACACACACACACACTCACTTGTACATACACAAACTTTAACACTGATAAAAAGTGAAAAGAGATAATAAATGATAAGTTAAATCAAATTTTCAGCTATTGTAAACAACTACAACACTCCTGTACAAATGAAATATGATCTTAGTATAAACTAACATCAGACTTTTGGTATGCCTCTAAAACATGCAGGATAAATAAAAAAACGCATCAGTACAAATAATTATTCAACAAAACTACAAGTGGATAAGAACATTTTAAAAATCAATGCAATCTGCAGCATGTTATCTGGAATAAAGACAAGAAGGAAATACATGAACTCAAGCATGAAATAACCTAAGGGTGGATTTTCATTTTCAGAATTAAAGGTAAATTTCGAGCCAAGAGGGATGCTGATGTCAGTATATGATCTGGCATAAAACTCAACTGTTTAGACAAATCAAGAAAAAACAGAGAAAGAACAAGATGATAAACAAAAAACAAAAACCAAAAATAAGGTGGTGGTGGTGGTGTGGGGGGGGGGGGGGGGGGGGGGGGGTAAGAGATTGTAAAAGTAGCTAAATAATGAAAACATGTAGAAAACAATTTTTTACCCCAACAATGGATGGGTGGGTGGGTGGGCTTATGTTTGCATGTATGTATGTGTGTGTGACCTGCATGAGCATGTTAACATGTAGGGGCGCTAGGCTAGCCAGCGTGCTGCTCTGACACAATGACTGATGATGTTAGCCAAACCTGCAGGCAGGAGAAAAATTACGCTGTAATTCAAAGTAAAAGGTTACATCGCTAATAAGAACCGTATTTATAAAAGATGAACAAAAGTGGTACAACAAACCTAGACACCAAGTAGTATGAACCAGGTGAAAATGAAAATAACACTTTTAATTAGAAAACAAAAAGATTATAAATCTGAGGGGTCAGAAGTCTACAGTCAGAACGTGTGACCTACAGAGCTAAATTTCATTAATTAAAATGCATTGAAATGTGTGTGATGTTATTAGCCCAAAGCTTTGTGACTGAGAGCTTGAACTGTAGTATGACAGTGGAAAGTTCAGCATTCCCCAGGAGGTCAGCTGTGTGTCAGCACCATCAACATATATGTGTGTGTGTGTATATATATATATATATATATATATATATATATATATATATATATATATATATATATATATATATATATATATATATGGGTTTCCATAGACTCCAATAATAAGTTTTTGAGGTAAAATGGGAGGTGGCCACCATCGCCATTTTGACCTTGTCACAGGCTCTGTCAAGCCCAGACTGTTAGAGCCCTGCACTGAAGCCCTAGGCCCTCGGGTCGGCCGGGCCAATGACTGTGCAATTACCTCGGAAACGGGCCGGGCACCTTTATTTTTAATCGAATTCATAAAAAAAATTTGAAACACTTAAACCAGGGGTCGGCAACCTGTTCCCATCAAAGAGCCATTATTACCCGTTTCCCACAGTAAAGACAACACTAGGAGCCACAGCAGCCGCGGCGTTGTGGGCGGGGCCTACCCTCAGACAGCAGAGAGCTGCTTTAACCAATCACAACAGGTGACAGCAGTCAGTACCGGTCGCTCGTGTACATCAAAGTTATCTTTCATAAGACGATAATCAATAAAACGATTTATATAAAGTGGATCCAGAAGTTGTAGCCCGTCTCTACCCACAATATTTTGATATTTTTCACCCTGTTGGTGGTTTTACTGAGCAGGTGCCACTTTTGTCATACGTTTCTTTTTAAAACATGTTTAGACTGCTCAGAATACAAATCCAGGCTCTGTCACGTTTGATTGTTGTAATTAAACTTTGTAGGTGGGGAAGGTCAGAAAAGGATCCGATCATTTTGTTTTTCCCTCATTTACAGTGACGGAGATAATGGCACAGTGCGCCTAGCTCTTGTGTTAATCAAGTTTAATTTTATCTATTTTCACAAGAAAACAAAACAGTTAAAAGCAGGGCTTGTGTTGACCCGACAGTTCCCGTATTTGACCGTTTATTTTGACGGAGAAAGAATAGAAAGAATTACCCCGACGCATGCAGACGAACTGACATTTTATTCTACGCACATCACAGATGTAGCTAAATCACTCAAGAAAAGATTCCCATCTGAACATCTGAGCTGGACACTGCTCAGCGCAGTTTTGCTGTGTTAAAAAAAATAAAACGTAATGCAGTTGGATAAAACACACAGAATGAACATACAAGAGACACAAAGCTTCAATTTGTTATCTCTGTCATGTACCATGGTGTTATTATGTGTTGGAGAATATAATAATACACACAGGAGCCCAACAACAAGGTCTATAGGACCCAGAACTTTGTGCTCTAGCCCCTCCATGATCTGGATGAGAATCTACCAACTTCTGATTGAAAGCAGAGATCAATATCTATCATGCCGTCATGCCATTGCAACCAACTACAGAGACACTATGTATCCACACTGCAGCATGTGGTGGATGCTAGATGAAACCAATGTTCATTTTCATATGACAGTGTCTCTGTCACTACACACGGTAGGGATTCTCATTATTTCTGCTCTGGATCTAGATGGTGTCCTCTGCATGCAACACCTCTGTGGTCTGCAAAAGGAAGACTGAATCTGTCTAACCTCCAGAAAACAGGGTACGTCTCCTCCA